TATATGAAAAAGAAAATTGTCTGACTTTGGTTTTGTGCTCATTAATTATATTTTCGGGCCAATATGTTTTTTTGATGTTTTAACGCTAACAGTACGTTTCGTTACCGCTGGTAAAACCCATTGCAGTTCTTCTAAGATGTATAAACAATAACAGCGTTCGATCAAAGGAGTACCCACATTAGCAGTTGCTTTAGTGCCACATTAGAATGGCTACATACTAATAGCTTGTTACTGATACTTCATTGGCTGGTTTTCCAGTCAACTAAGTGACTGCAACTAACTCATTCTCGAGGTATCAGAAGCGTCTCCATTGTCGCTGCTTGGATGACGACGTTCTGCGTTAACCAGTGCAATTGCATACGGTGTTCATGATCATTTGTGTGCACCTGTTTGTTGTGTTTGTTTGATTCAGCTGCGCTGTCGTGTTCTTTGTGATCACCATCATCAGCATGATCCTCTATTGTTTTCGTTATGGTATATATTGGAGAGACGCTTGCGCCAGTGCAATTATCCAGTGTTGACATACGATTTTTACCGATAGTAGTGGTTTGTCTGTTATGTTGTAGTCGTAACGTGAGGGCAGCTGTTAGTATTAGTGCGCTTCTGCCGTTGACGCCTTTAGCGCTGCCAATACAATCGCCAGTTCGTCTACGCTATTGCTGCTGGCCCTCAATACCGCAACATCGTACCGCTGTCGGTGATGCGGACACCGCCATTGCGGGTTGCTGCTACTGCTGTTACTACCGTGGTTTCGGCGTTCTTTATGGCGATAATAGTTGCAGTGGTGGCCATCGTGCTGGTCGCGTCTTCGGTGCGGCCACCGTTAGTCTTTAATTCGGTTGACACTCGTTGGCGCTCGACATTCAGCAATAGTAGCTCCACCACAACAGCATTACCACCACCATTAGCGCCATCGGCATCAGCGAACGGCGGAACACGCAGTCGCCGTTTGGCTGGCGTCAGCAGCAGCGTTGCGTTCGAAGGAGACTTGGCGTACAGCAATAGCGACACGGGTGAAAAAAACGGCAAACACCAGTGAGCGTTAAAGAACCGCAGCGCCGACCAGTAACCGCTCATGGCTTCGGCTGATGGCGTTGTTCGGCTATTCTGGCTGTTGTTACTGCTGCTACACTTATGGTCGTCGCTGCTGTCAACGGGCAGCGAACCTTGACTTTAGAGCTTTCGTCCGTTCTGTCTGCAGGCACCGTTTGCAGCGGCCCCATTGGCTTTACTGCTGCTGCCGGACATAACAACGGCAGCGGTACACCTATGGACAGTATACTATGCCAGTGATCGAGGTAATAGTTTTAGTCAAAAGTATAATAATAAAAGCCGCCGTGTAGGGCAGTTTTCGCAGCTTGAATCTCCTTCTGCTTCCGCTTGTATAGTGCCAAGGATGGCGCTAGCAGTCAACGAGCTGCAAGCTTCACAACAATCTACCACACACCCCAGTAATACCGCTGCATTACCACATGTCGCCGAAGACCACGTTGGTTACGCACATTTTGCCGCCATCTCTTGCTTGTGGTAGAGTAGAAATCATGTGGCAGCAGCTTTCTCTGCCGCCCCTGTTACCGTGCTGTGGTAGTTTGTTCTGCCTTTTTCGGCTACGGAGCACAAAGCGCAGAAGGAGATCAGAATTGTAGTACCAGTATTGGGTGGCAAACGAACTAACGGAATGAAGCACGTGCACGGCACAACAGTAAATCGACAACTGGCCGTTTTACCTGCAGCTGCCTTTCAATCATCCTGCTGGCCCTTACAGTCTTTGGCGCCACCGCCGTATCAGTCGCTGCCACTGCCACAATGCGGCTGCTGTCGCTGCCGTTATCGACGTTAGTGTTCGCGCTGCTGCCGGCGCTGCTGTCGTTTCCGTAGCATCAACGGCTGCGGTGACGGCGACATAGCCAACGGTTGCCGCCACTACAGAACCGCCTAAGAAGCGCCGCCACCAATGTCAGAAACGGAATACTTACAACGGGCGAAGCAAACGCCAGATCGCACCAGATCGCAGCACAACAGAGCGAGCCACCCGAAGTGATAGCTGTTTTCGGACCAGCAGTGGTTAGAAATAGGTAGAACATTGGTGGTTATTGGTGCTTTAATAGTGGTGACTGATGCTGCTGCTGCTGCTATTACTCACTACGGCTGCTGTGGTAATGTTTGTGTTGTAGAGGAATATCGAGAGGTTTGTGCCTCCGCGCAGTCACGTTGGACGTTGGCTGACAGAGGATGACAATGATGATAATTGCGGCAACAGAAAGTTCATGAATATCGAACGTATCGCAACGATAACTACAAATCGTTAAATGATTATTCGTGAAAACGACACTTTGCGCCACGCTACGGACCACTTTATTGCCTGTTAACTTCTGCGTCGAATAATATCAGTAACGACATTGAGTCGGTCGGGCGGTGACCGCGCGAAACTCACCCAACTACCGCGCCAGTTCGAGGCGCGTTGATCGCGCAGAGAAATCGTTCTTCCGTCCGAACGCACGGGATCCATTCGCGCCGAATTGAGTGCCCCTTAGATTCATTGTGCGGTGTGTCTGTTAGTCGGCCTTTTTTTTCGAGATTCTGTCCAGTCGATCGCCTAAAGTCGCTCAATAGGAAATACACACAGCTGATCGACCACAGCGCAAGTTTGCATGGGCGATTTTTCAGAAATTATCGCCGCCGCTCATGAGGCAATTACTTGGAAGCTATCGTAAAATATCAGATCAATTCCATGGAGAAAATCGGTGTATAAAGATCCGTAACAGTGCTTCATGCTGTCGGGGACGATTTTGGACCTTTCAAGTACTGTCAGGCTTACGCAGCCCATCATTAGAGAGTCAAGATCTATTAGCAGAAGAGTAGTTGTACAAATGGGTGCAGGAGGACTTCGTGCGGTTATATAATAATTGTTTTGACTTTTATTTCATTTTAATTAATTCCGTTTGTTGTGCCGATTCTGCCGGGAAATTCCTCCTAGCTGGAATTTACTAAAGCATTGTGTGGTAGCCTGAGAGTTTATAGACAATGTGGTAACCCGGAACTGTACAAAGTATCTGTGGTCTTTTCGCGAGCTACAAAAATATATTACGCTTCACCATACTAGTAGTCACTGTACTGTTCGAAATATGGTTGTGTTGCTACAACAGTTGCTCATAACGACTTATAGTGAATTTGTGCCCCAAAGTGCCTTAAGCGCGAAGCATCTGCTACTTCCAAGCGTTACATTATCAAATAAAATATCATTTACTTCAGATCGTATCACAACAGCCGAAAATATAACTCGGTGTTGAACTGGATCAAAACAGTTCGTAGCGCGAGTATTTGATTCCCATAACATCCTTAGCTTCATACTACCAAATGAAATCTTATTGACGGGGATTCTGCGTTGGCATTAAGCATTCCTGCTATCGAACAATTATTAGTATGGTGATATAATGACACTATAGCACAAGTAGACGCCACCCTTTTTACAGTGTCATAGTATCATCGCCTGATTATAATTATAGCAACCTATGGATACCTAAATAAAGAAAGACTACAAAGACGATATGAGTGACGAAGAGGCTGAAGAAGCATCTGGATCTGTGTTGTTCCTTGGTGATGTTGTTCGTGATGACGATGGTGATGATGATGAAGACGTCGATGAAGATGAAGATGACTATGCGGATTATCACGATAATATAGAATACGTCTGTCCAGATCACTTTGTGTTTCATTGTGTAAGTAGCGCGGAAGTCTGAGCTCAGTTTGGGTTGGCTTCGATATTTCGCTGAGAAAAAGCTAATCATTCTGGAGCTAATTTTATGGATGCGTAGTACCACTTGCACATACAAGGAAAAACGGTTTCTGTTTCTATAAATGATTCTGGCCATTTGAATCTTCAAATGAAGTTTTTCAACTAAAGTGAATCTTCAAATGAAGCGATATATTTATAATTCTGCTACTAAATTGTATGATTTTTTCCTATCTACATTTAACCGTTACTAAATGTTAAGTCTCACTAACTAGGAGATTAGCACTTTTTAGCAAATAAGGAACAGTATCCGAGAGAGCAAAACTTGTCATGCCGAAAACACAATGAACTGATTTGTGTATAGGATCTGGAAAACAGAGCCACCAAATTTCGGGATAATCGTGCGCCTAAAAGCCACGAAGCTCGTATTTAGTAGATGGGTAATTATAAAAACTTGCAAGATATTCACATACGTCGCCAGTCTTTATCATTTCATAAACGTGAACCGCACTCACCATTCATATATTCTACCGCTCGAACACACGCACGTTTCTCACATTATTCGATAAACAAAAACCTGTCTCATTACTGTGCGAGAATCTCCAACACTACGAAGAAGGGCGATGCACTGACAAAAATCCATCAAAGACTCTTTTGGGCAAGAAGCGATGCGTACATTCTAATAACAGCAATAACAGTGATAGTATTAACAGCGAAACGATAGTTTCTTCCTAACTTTACGGCCATTGCAGCACATCAAGCTGCGTTTCTATCTGCCTGACCTTCCTGCTGCTTCCGCCACCCACACAATAGAAACACAGAACCGAATCGCAGCAGCTGGGGCAACGGCTGCTTTACAGCCACAACTGGCACGATTGTGACCAACATTATCAATATCATAGTCATCTCCGTAATAAGTTTGAGCACATCTGACATTATTAGCGTCCATTGGCAGGTTGTACAGGAGTGCGGGATACACGTGATTGTACTGCCACCATACAGCTGGGTCGTATTCCCGCTAACCAACAAATCAACCAAGAGTACGCGTATCGAGAGATAAATTCACATCTGTAAAGGATCTATTTAGTTTACCGCCACCGCGGAATTAGATGACACAGTGGAGTTATCCTTACAGTACTCTTTGGTGACAGCACTGATAACGACAGTAGCAAAATTAGTAGAGTAGATTTGTCTCCGCATTTGAAAGTACATTTGGCTTTTCCGTTGCCCGACGCTTTGTTTCTCCTCTCTGCAGTACACCGGATAGAGACTTAACGGCGCGTTTAAAAGGGAGCTTGGCGAGGGCAGGGCAAACAGTTTCTAATCGGCAGATGACGAAATGATGTTACGGGTGCGTGGTTAAGGTCATCATTGGGTTAAGGTCAATGTCGTTCAAACGAAAAAGTAAACTAGCAGAGGGCAATATCCCGGACTAGTCGAGACCACCATCGTAATGCCAGCAGTAAGAGATTGCCTCTGTGATAACACAGTGATAACTTGTATGTCTAATAATCTTAGAGACATGTAATGCGGTTTAGATTCGAAACCGGGCATATACACACTTCGTTTTCTGATGAAAGCCACCCTTCAAAGCAGTAGCACCGGACGTAAAACTTGAAAACAGTTTAGTCGGAGAAAGTATTTAGTGGAGAAATATCTATTCATAAGTCGGAAACAAAGGGTATAATGGCTTAGAGAGATTAGTTATTTTTGAGTATAATTTGTAAATGTGGTAGTAGAAACAAAGAGAGTGCATGCCCGTTAAAGCGTATTTTCGGAGAGGTTCAATGTCTAACAGAAGAACAGCTGGACGGTTGACAGAGATCGAAAATTTTTGCAACCTACAATCTTTCTAAATCGGTGTCCGTCGTTTGCAGTATGGCTGAGGAAGGAACCGCATACAATAATGATTCTTCTTTCAATGTCAGGGTTTCATAATATTGATAGAGTTTCATAATACATACAATCGTAGAAATTTATTTCACGTTTATCGGTAGCCTTTAGTGTGTACGCTCAAACTGTAATTAATTGTCTTGACGAAATACTATACACCGAAAATACGCTTACACATACGGTTCCTTCTGCGTTCTAGGTAGCAGTAAACAAAGACAGTCAGGTTACACCAATCTTATTTACTTACAGAAAGTTATCTGTTCCAATGTTCGAACGTAAGTTACAATATTTGTTCTCCCCGACTTCAACTGTAACATCAGAAAAGTTGTTGCAAATGTGCATATATAGTATAAGCAGTTCCTCTAGTTATAAACAGTTTCCAGTTTACTGATGACATAGAACTCCTTTTATCAGATTTATGCCTGTTATCTTCTGCTCGATATCTGTCCCAGCATCGTTGCGATTTCTCCGAAGGCGAGTTGTTAACTAAAAAATGGTTGCTGCTGGATGACTGAAAAGCAAGGGCATTGCCATTTGTCTGTTAGATGTGCATCCCGCTCTAAATAGCAGGATCTTGTTCTAGCGCGTCAGGTATCCCATCTGGCAAATACAATTTCACAAACGATTGCAGATGCCCTTTTTCCTGTTGTCTATCCCAGCTGGCCGGAGATATCGTAATTTGATTGCTCGAATTAGTAGTGATCGGTGCGGCCAGTTTGGGGTAGAAATGTACACACCTAGATTTATCCTTATATACGTATACCATAAGGTATAAAACTTACATTAAATAAAGTTGGGCGCTTCACACGAAATGTGTACGCGTATGTTGCTTGACTTGGATTGACTCATTGGAATGTTGCAGTCGATTCTCAAAGTCCCGCAAGATTATGCGATGAGCTCTATCCTGAAAAACTCAAAAAAATATTCGTACTCTATGTGTCTATGAGTGATTAAATCAGATATCGACACTGGCAAGAAATATTAATATTTTAGTTGACTTGAAAGACGGTCGCCCTCAAGCCTGAAACCTTCCAGACCTAATTTCAAACATATCCACGTATCGTTGATGTTACTTAACAAAGCTTATACTACGAGTAATAGTATGCCGCCCGTAGTAATAGTATGTAAGCGAGTATAATGTATTGTTAATGACATCAGCTGTACTTTTGTTCATAGTACCCAGCGTTACAGGCTGGTGACAAATAACAAATTGCCTAACACATGTAGAGTTAACTAATTGCTTTAATTGACCAATTCTACCGCCTATTACGTCCAGCCGCGCTGTCCACTATCAAATTTTACAAGAAAGGGCAAAATGCACACCTCTAGATGGATACTTAGCGTCCGATAGGAAAGGGTTCAATTTTCATTTAGCATTATTCTACGGCAGCGATTATTGCATTCACGAGAAATTATATTGATGGACATTTAATCGCTAATTAGCTCCCTCAAAAGGTGATCTCTGGTATATGTGTTTTACTAGGTATCAAGTAACTTATGCTGCTGCCACTGTTTAACCTCTATTTACACTGACACATATTTGAGATATTAACATACAAAGTGAACCCAGCACCCTTTTCTTTGAGACGGTTAGCCCTTACACGCATAGTACGGTATACGAGAATGTATATATATATAGGCAACCGTTTAGTAGTGTAGTGTGCTCGCTGTGAGCTGTCTGGGCTTCAAATAGTATATAAACTTAAGGTGCTCTCGCTGTGGAGGATGCGGAACCTGCGATGAAAATAAACAGCGGGCATGGGATCTTGTGCATTAATTAGGAATCATTTTTAGATTGGTAGTGAGCTATGACTACAAAGTATCTGTCGCAGTGGAACATATTATTATGGGTTTGTTCAGAGATAAATTATCGCGTGCAGCTGTCACCGATTTCACGCAGAATGTGATTCGCTTTTAGGACTCGAATATTGGCTTAATATTGGAATCGTTAAATATAACGGCAAACACATTATTTCACAGTTTGAAAGGTTTGATTTGTTTATTCAGTTTTGTTTAGTGCAGTCCTCATAAACTGGAATCTTAATCAACCACGTCTTGGTATTAGTGTTACTCTTTTGGAGGGCGGCATGGTGTGGCTAGCCAATACCCATCTCCTTGAATTCGTTGCCGTGATGATCACAAACATGGGGTCATCGTTGATTCACATCTCATCATCGGCCAATGGCTACCATGCTCTTTCTCACGTTTGTTGGAGAAACCCAAGCAAGTTTAACAAGACTCACTCCAACTAGACTTTCTAGTAAGGTCAAGTCCTTGGTGCTATACTGAAGAGATTAGTTCGAGAACTCACACGAATAAGAAAAGGTATTCACACAAAATAGGTAACCAAAACGTTGAAAAAAATTGTATGATTAATGTTATAAGTGGACACTCATATGATGAAGAACCTTAAAAGCATCTAACTCTGTGACTATTATATACGTAGAACGTTTCCAGTACTCTGTGCGCATAAATATACAAAAATGTCCGTTATTTTCAAAAGCATACATAAGAGGAACTTCCTTTAGGAACAGTCGCACCGTCTCATATCATTACAGCAAAACGATTCGTAATTGTAAGTGGTAGAAATTCTCAGTAATGTAAATAATTTGGTCTGTCGATAATCGTAACGCAAAGACATAGAGCACATTGCTGTTGGTGTTCCTGTAGTTTTCGTCGTTTTTGTCGCAGCCGCGACCGCCTTTCACATTGTTTCTAACCCGTATTCTATCTGGATGCGCAGCCATCCGCGTACTACAACGTTGTCCCGGCGTACGCACGTTCCTATGTATGTCGATCGCCAATCATTGCCGGCGACTTTCGTCGCCGTCCGCTTGCGTTGCCTGTGGTGTCGCAGGCACTACAGTGCGACTAGTACGGTCGGCCTATAGTGTCTGTTTGACCATGTGTCCGCTAACCGCCATCCGCTGTCCGTTTACTGCCTGGATGACTTGGGATTTTCACGGCCAGCTACAATAAAAGTAGCAACAGCAATACTTACTGCTGGTGGCGGTCATCCGAAGCCGCTGTAGCATTCGTCGTTGTTGGCGCCCGATGACGCCGATGGCAGTGGCGTCGGCGGCCACAGATAATGTAATGCGGTTGATCGTCTGTATACTATGACTGTGTGTGCAGGCCATGTGTTTGTCTGCCTGCTACTGTTCATGTATGTCTTTGCGTCTGTGTATGTGTGTATGTGTATGTGACTCTGTGCCGTCCGCTCATTGTGAAAGGTCGTGCTTACGCCGTAGCCTGGGCCTTGTGTAGTGGCAGCAGTTGTGCGGCTCCAGCAGCGCAATCGAAGCTGTTAACATTGGTGTACTGTAGTATTCTGCTACCTTGTGCGCGGTCAACCCATGGCGACGCGCAACACCGACGATCGTCGTGCATTGCTGCTAGGATAATCATACGGCTACTACAACTAACGCCGGTTCACTGCTACGGCCGCCGCTGCGGTTGGCGTCAACGACGCCATTTTACCTATACTCAAATATAATGTAATACTTGTATTAAAGTGCTGAGCATGCTGATCTCTCTGTTGAATTGCCGTTGGGTCGGGCACTGGATTCCACGGTCGCTTGTTTCATTGTTGCTGTTTGTGCGTCTTTATAGACAACGACGCGGCTGTCTGCTGCTGCAGGAGCCAGTAGTTGCGCTGTTACGATGGCCGTCTTTGGTGGAGTGCTACCTTATGGAATTCAACACGACTTTGTCGGCAGCGGTGAACCACTAGAACCAGTAGTGCTGCTAGCCGCTGTATTGATCGAGCAATGTGGTTCCATTTGGCGACATTGCAGTAGCTAGCTATACCCGGGGTGGTCGGCGTGCCTGACGCGTAAGCCACAGAAATAGCGCAATAACAACAGCGTCTACTATCCCTGAACGAGAACTCCCCATTAACATCAGCGCCTTTCTTCCCCGTCTCTTTTTCCCTTTCACTCATCGCCCCTTCTGCAGCATTAGGTAGCGAACATAGTTGACAGTGACGTCACCACTGTTTGGAAGGGGCTACTTGGGGGCTTCGCTTCGGGATGAATTTGTGATTGTTGTTGGTTGCTTCTGGAAATGCAGTTGGGATAGGAAAGAAGGCGAAAAGGCAAACCTGCTCGTGCGCTGGTACAGCTCACCAAAGTTTTCGTCGGAGTCTGACGGGAAGACCGCTTGCGTTAAGAAGTCAATGAGGAGGAGATTTTTCGTATAGTAGTAACGTAATGTTACATGGCAGCGCGATTTCTTTCTTGTGTAGCCTTTTTCTGGCTTTCATTGCCCCCTGTTGTTCCGGTTGCTTACGAAGTTACTTCTTTTCTTCTGGTACAGTGATGCAGTGCGGCAGTCCGAAGACTGCTCGTCCCCTCTCGGCCGTCCGCTGCACCGAGTAATAATATAGTTATATATTAATAGAACAGTGGAAGTAAAACTAATAATCTGCGAGGGCCGGTCAATGAAGTTTGCTTATCTCCGTTTCACAAGCGCAAAAATGGCAATGACACGAAACACGAAAAAGGTAGACTTTCCGCCTACGAGTGTAGAGCGAAAATCGCACCACGTTCGTACATAAACGATACTAGTAACGAGATGTATAACTTTTACTCTCTTTGAATGAATTAAAATGTAGTCACAGTTGAAAACGATGAAATTGAACCGTAGAAGCAGAAAAGAAGACGCGACAGTACGGCTGTACGTCTATGTAACATTTATGGATAAAGTGTTTTTCAGAGAAATCTTTTTATGAAACCTGTATTAGAAGTTTGTTATTCGGGCGTGTAACCTGTATTGCTTTGAGATACCATCCTACGACGTTTACTGTATAATAACTTTAGACAACATCAATCGGTTCCAGAAAATACCTTCTAATTTCGCGCGTTTGTAAAATATTTGAAAATTGCCAGTTTCGTTGTGGCAATTTCAAGGTTAAGAAATATAATTTCAAGACAGAGGCGAAGAATAATTAAGCAGTGAAATTCGGCATTCGGCAAGTCAGTTTTAACTTGAACTCAACAGTCTTTATCGTAGCAATCTACCAAATATTTCTTTATTTTGATTTTTTATACGCATGATCACGAATAATTACCAATTACTATACCAGAGTGCAAGATGTGTGCTTACTTAAACGAACAAGAGATATCGTAATAATTCACATGGAGTTCGGTATATTTTTTTAATATACTGTGGACCTATAGAATAAGAGACCTGGGCAAAATTCCGGTACTTGATGTTTCGTTAATAACATGATACATAGAAATATGATACATCGGAAATATGATACATCGATAAGCCCGCAACATATTGTATAGACGAATCTTCCCAATTTTTGCCTGACCGGATCAATTGCCTGTTGCATATCATCTGCAACAAAAGAGCAAGTCAATTTGTTGGAGAACGCGAGAAAGCAACCTGCTCTCCTATATTTAGGGTGCCCGTACTTAAGGCTGGCTTTCGGCTATCACTAGCCGTCGAATGACCCCATTGAACTTCGAGAAAGATCAGTTCGGCTCTTTGGGGGTGGGGTGGGGGGATATTTTACACAAACGACGAATGTAAACATTGGCGGCAGCAAAGTGCAAATAGTGGAGAGATCGTACCATTCGTTGCATTATACGCACTTTTGCCCATTAGGTTATTGTATGAGCTTCTTTACAGATGGGCTGACTTCGTATTCTTTATCCCATGCTTATGTGTGTATATGCATTTCTGTTTGTGTGTGTATATAACGTGAATAGGTTATAAATCGCCTGCCGTCGTGATATAGGTGGATAACTACCCATGTGTATTTTCTGTCAAACAAAGTAATATATACTCAGCGAACAATTGATACCCGTATATAATGCCAGAACTTGAAAAACAAGAGTTTTTATAACTTAACCAACGATGGCTAACCACAGTAAGGTGGGACGCTATAAGTGTTAAAATGAACTTGCCGTCGCAACAGTCATTAGTGTGTTTTCTACATATGCACTGTGGTTTTAATACGTATCTGAGTTGATTTCGTCGAAATTGTATTTATGGAAGTGCTTAATAGAATAAGAAATTTTAACACGATATACATGACAAATTCAGTCAGGATTGTTCTATTGTCGAATTATGCTTTTAAAAACGCAGCCTTTAAAGCAAGGGATAAGTTTAGCAGTTAATGTAGTACTTACATTTTTTTTTTGACATTCCTCAATCGCAAACCAAAGCTGGTTAAGAGATTTTGCTTAAGTTAGAAACGACCAGTTACTATCGACTTCTGTTTCCCAATGTGCAGCAGGACTGCAACTTTGTCGGACTATCACCATGCGTATTTATTGAGGGATCTCTGCCCAATCAAATTGCATACAAGTCGGGGTATTGCCAAGCACAATGAGCTGCTAGTCTTGTACCGAAAACCAAATAAATGCCCAGTTTAATTCTATCCCAAATTAATCACTTACTATATTATTATAGCTAACCACTTAGTCCCTACTAAGCTCATATTCATCTTCCCCTATATTCCTTCATTTTTCTTTTGTTTCAGATGTTGACTGGGGGTCGTGGAATCAGTGCCGATGGCGGCTCGGTTTGCGTCAGCAGCGCTGCGGCCTCCAACGTAGTCAAGAGGCACTCGGATGCTGTTAACTATGTGCGTCGACCACTCGTTCCGCAGACCTGGTGTCAACGTCTTCATGCGCGTCAACTCGGGCTCAAACATAAAGAACCACCGGGAACGGCGTTGCGTCGAATTTACGACAATATTCGGCCGTCGGATGACGTATTCCCGAACGATGAACAGACACCCCATGGTGGTATCTTCAATCTATCGTTCTCTGATGATGGACGCACACTCGTGGCGGCCACCGAACGGCGTCGAATTCTCGTGCTCGATCCGCTCTCGCACAAACTTGTTCACACTGTAGCCGATGCCCATCTCGACTGTGTCAACTATGTGCGATTCCTCGATAGCAGAGTAAGAAGATGTGTTTTTTGCGCCTACGTATAGTTTGGTCGAATTTCAAAACCGCTTTCTCATTGATTACTTGGAATATAACAGGGATTCGATTAATGGTTGTGAAAGAATTCGAGTGGACTTGTCTACGTTAAGTTTTTATTAGTGTAGAAGTAATGACTGTGCTACTACCACGTATAAGTATATCATAAGAGAAATACCTTTTATTTTTCTGTTGGATTTATACCCAACATTACAGGTGGTCGCGTCTTGTTCAGACGACACGAAAGTAAAACTCTGGGACGTACGCAGTTTACGTGAACACGTGAGCGAGTTAAGTGGCCATGCGGGTTGGGTGAAAAATATCGAATATTCGAAGAAGGATGGTTTACTTGTCACGTCAGGCTTTGATGGTAATATTCAAAAATGGCACATCAATCAACTCGGCGAGCGATACAATGCTACGGAAAATCGTGTGTTATACCAATCTGGCTTGATGCGTATGCGCCTTACCCCTGACGAGAGCAAGATGGTCTTGTGTACGACTCAGGGATATCTCATGGTCGTGCATGACCTTGATCTCAATACCCTCAAAGAAGACCTCAGCGAGTTTCGGGTAAGAAGACAAGTTAAAATCGTCAAATCAAATTTGCAAGAATAACTACTTTGAGTAGTTTCGCGCTCTTTTAATATTTTCAAGGTTTTTGTAACACTCCTAATCTATTGACTCATTGAAACGTGTTAATTATTAATTAAACTGCAAACTTTTTATTTAACTTGCGAGAGTGGTGGAGTTAAGCTTTTTCGTCGTGTTTGCACTGTCGCAATCTTCAGTGATCATTAGGCTAATCAACTGTGGTTCATACTGTGTTTTCGGCTCATTTTATTTAGCCGGACCTCTTTCGTATGCATCAGCGCGAGCAGTCGGGGTTCTCGAATCCTATCCTCGACTGGGAAAAGTTCTTCACCGCTTCGCGGAATCGTGTGGAAATGATCTCGGACTTTCCCGTTGGTGATACTGCTCAAGTGATCTCTTCGCTCCAGGTTCACCCTCATGGATGGAGCGTTTTATCGAGGAACACCAACTTTGAAGAGAAAGGAGAGGTAAGCTCGTCAGCGTTCTTTTACGAAATTTAACTGCTGTATTATGCATGAGCAGCGCCTTGAGTAAGATAGGTATTTATTATTATCGTATTATGGTCGTACTATCGCGTGTCCCTCTGCTCTGACATGACATCATTATCCTTAGGGCATACTAATAAGAGGAATAATTATTACAGCAAGAGTAGAATTAAGACATAAAGTTATTATATTTTTCAATAAAAGCCTACAGTACAAAAAATATTTCTTTTCGTTCTTTCGCGGTTTAGCAAACACCGACATAACATTTAGCCTTAACCTTGCCAGCAGCAGCACCCGCGGCGTTCAAACAAACACAAGTAAATCTACCATAATTTGGCTCGCTAGCGCCTTTGCTTATGACGAGCAAAGAAGTTCCTGTTCTTTTCAAACTGATGAACCGCTCATGCCGTCTGACTTACAGCGTGTCTGGCCATCTGCGTCAGCGTGTCAGTCTCTCTCTCCCTATGTATTTCTTATTAAGGAATTGCACTGGTACGATCTTATAAGTAGACCCTCCAACAACGAGGCAAGCAAACTTAAGCTTACAGAAAAGCATCGCAAAAATAGCCGTAGCACCAACATCTGCCAGTGTTTGCGTGCCGCGTACCATGTGTGCGTCAAACTAAGATGTTCATCTTTGGGGAGCGTTTCTGTCGCTTCGGACAGGCGCACCGACGGTATATACGCTGGCTTAGGTCGCACAGACTTTTGCCGTTTGGCAAAAGAAAAATCATCGACAGAGACAGCGATCACGATTGCGGCTAAGATTTATAGAGCAAGAGGTCGAACGATGGTTAACCTCGTCTACGATACCCAAACGCCTTTAGGGGGAACCAGGACGGGAGGAAAAGGCCGTGCGTGCGCCTGCACCTAATACTAGATTTTCGACGCAATACTACAGCGGCACTTAAGGAAGGAATTGGAAAAACCAGTACTTTTTCAGATAGAAAACGACAACAATACGTCAGGGATATCATCAGCAACAGAAGTAGCATAATCATCTTTATTGTTATAATCGATAGCAACAAGATGAAATAGAGGGGGTAAAGGAATGAACAAGTTAAGAGCTGCTTCTGACGGCGCTGCTGTTGCAGTTCTGTGATTTGCTGGCTGCTCAACGCTGGCTACGATGTCAGTGGTAGCGACCGCAGACTGTAACTAAGCTAACGTAATTTCCTCTTGCGCTACGTCCCGAAGGATCGTAGGAGGAATGAAAAATTCAGTAAGAATTCTTGTGGATAGACTTATCATGTAATCCTTGTCTGCCGTACATCCTTGTCTGTCGTACGTTTTTGTCCATTAAAAGCGTATGACGCCTTGACTACGGAAACAGGTTATCTTTATCAAACGAGCAACGGCTCGTGCATCCAGACGCGCTGCTGTTTATCACCATGCCATCAGAAAAGTGGCAAAGTAACACTATATGCTACACATGGACCGATTCTTAATAGAGTTATGGTCTACGAATGACTGCGCACGTATAAAAGTGCGTTTGTGGGGAAACCAGGGAAACCGGGGAAGAGCCAGAAAAATAGCAAATCCCAGTGATAAACCTAGTGAACCGCATGGACAAGTCCGATAAGATGGCGTTGCATGTGCGTACTGTTTGCACAGCGATTGCTGTCGACTACGTGAGAAGCAGATACATGCTATCGGCCGTTGCGGTCGTGCTAAAAGTGTTTTTGTACAAAAAGGTATGACATGATAATTCTATGTCTCTACTTGTTCACCTAATGATGTTGCCTCTTTCAAAAAGCCGTATATGTGGATATGGAAGATCGAGATAAGAACCGACGTGTAGTGTAAATATAAACATGTTGTAAATCTAGTGAAGACCAATTTGGAATTTAACTGAAATTGCCTACGCTAAAAATAACCTGTGGTGTGGTGGATGGATGCACTTTCAATTGGGTTTTAGAATATTTGTCCAAGTAGGCCATGGTTTAGCATGAGCAGTCTAGATCGATAGGTCTTTACTTTTAAATCATGAATTGATAGTAGAAAGCAATGACTCTTACAGCGGTATGGCGGACAGGATGCGCTTTGAACTGTGGACCAAATACAGACAGGCCCTTTAATAATATACGGATTGTCTTTGTTGCGTGTAACCAGTTACTGAGTCTACACTATGCCTATGTGGTAGAACTGATTTCCTGCCCGCTCTCTCTCTCTCTCTCTCTCTCTCTCTCTCTCTCTCTCTCTCTAGCTCTATATATATATATATATATATAGAGCGAAAGGGTAGAGAGAGATGATGAAACTATATATTTACTATTTTGATCGCTGACCTTTTGCCATTTTTCTTATAACACCATAATCCCTTCACTGTAGGACTTTGCGATTTTTGAGTAAAACATTGTGACGGGTAAGTTTTGCATCCGTCCATTAAAACTAAATTTGCACCATTAAAATAGTTTTGCAGAGGCTAAGATAAATGTCAGTCTGATGGTGCAAGTTTCGGGCTAGAAGGAAGATGAATTAAAATTTCTTGTTCAAGCTATCGGAGTTTTGCCGGGTAACTCAACATGCACGTGGTCTATGTCATGTAACTTTTTACTTATTAGTTCGAATCACTTGTTTTATTAGACAGCAACAACTCATAATGTCAGATTCCTTTCTAAAAAACATAGCATTGCAGTTTGGATTTTGCCACAGATTGCAGAGGACGTTTTTTTTTTTAATTTGCACCTTATTGTAGTATGTGATTCACTTTTCATAGCACCTAATACATTGCCTTAATAATTTTTCGATTTCACGGCGTTTCTGTAGTTTCACAGATAGGAATACGATCAACTAACTGTTTTTGCGTCTGTTCGTGTAGCAGTCAAATATCGACCTTTTTTTTTACTTAGCTTTCTTCAAATAATTTAAAGCTCCTTAGCGGTGGGTGTTTAGTTTTTTGGTGATACTGTGGTTACTCACATGTTAGCCTTGCTCAGCTTTCGTCATAAGTTCATCAACTTTTTCCGTGATTGGCAGATAGATACATAGAAACTAGAACGAAAGAGATAGAACCATCTTTGGCCCGTTTGCTTCGATAACGTGATTCAGATTACCTGAGACGTGTGAGTTTAAAATGATCTATCTAGAAAAACGGTTATTGCTTTTTCGGCAAACCAATATGATGGTCGCAGCATTAGCATGACTATTGCGGATTATATTATAATATATCGGTGATTTGTTCATTTTTATAGGCAGCGCCTACAAATAGAGACACGAGGCGATTAGTTAAGCAAGCGATACCGCCGACAACCAATCGTGGCCCTGGCTTTAGCGACTGGCGGCCAGCAAGCGTAAGCATAGACCCCATTGCCAGTGTAGCACTACAGTATAAAGAAGCAGGAAGCCATGTGACCTTGCTGAAGTGCTTGCTAGTCAGTGACTTGTTGTCTTTACCATTGTTGTTGGCGTTGTTACTGCGATTGCTGTTGTAGCACCAGCATTGCCGTGCTTGTGGAACATGGCGCGCGGCGCAACAGCAAAAGCAGCGGCAGCGGCATCGTCAGTATCAGGCAGACCCCATCAACAGCAACAACAACCAATAGCGTGACCAAGTCATCCAAGTCGGATCCCATTCGCGCCCGCTATACCACAGTTGTACAAGCCAAACGGCTGGGGGCTGTGATGGATGCCCTTGCAGCAGCGGCGGGTATGCTGTAGCTTTTATTGCTGCTGGAGGTGTTGTTTGGTGCTGCTGCTATTTCAGTATTTTCTGCAGCGTCGCCCTGACAATTATAACGAAGGTGGCAGCTGCGGTAGCAATAACATTCACAAAACTCTAAAGCTGAAATTGTCACCTCATCGTTGTGCTACGGCTGCCATTGCCTCCTGAACAACTTAGGTGTTGAGTTACGGTTGACTACAACCATAACTTGCTACAGAATTTTACTCATATCTACTAAATTATAATACTTATTATATAAATTATTATTACATAAATTATTATTCCCATTATTTACAAATTCAAATTATTAACAAACCATTGGCGATAGAGTGCCCGTTAGAAGACAAAAATTGCGAGGTTTTACGGAAACTCGATTTGTTATTTTGTCAAATGCCAACAACTACAGTTGATAAATTTAACCGGTCTTTGGTGACTGTATATCTGATATATCTTCACTGTATCATTATTTGGAAGAAGGGAAGATATTTCTATTCCACCTGGTTGTTGCCATCACCATCGTAACTGCTTTACTTTTCAACTTGGTGGAGTGAATAATTGTTTGGTGCGGGTTGCCTCGTAACGCCAACCATGACGTATAGACGTGATTATATCATGTTTGCTCAGTAGCACTTCCCCATCTACGTGTAATTAATATAACAGCAGGGCTAGTAGAATACCTGTGGTAATGGATAGAATGGGTAAATTGTTATTCATTTTTTTATTGATGTATGTATGTGCTACATCTTCTATCGCTAAATAATGCTAAATAAAACAGCGATAATACGTGTTTGATTTTTGTATATTGTCTTCTAGCCTAATATAGCGTAGTGGCAATTCTTTAGATTTTAATAAGAGATTTCATTGCGCGCCCTGTTACTGTTTTTTGATTGTAGTGGACATGTGTCCACGACATTCAGGGTCTGGATCGATCGGACGCGGACGATTTCGATGAGCCTATTATCCGAAAGAAGTCGCGCCTGGACTTAAGCCCCGATATGGCGTCAAGGTTGCCCATGGGTCCGTCGGGTTTGGTTGAGATGTACGGCATGAGTCTCTATCAACAGGTTCGGTTTGGAGCCTATAACACAGTAAGTATCCTTAGTACATCTACGGTTACGTATTACTATTTAGCGAAGTAAGCATGATACTTCTCTAAGGTCACGTAACATATCAATCTTTTTCGCGTGACTTTCTTTGACCAGACGATCTTCGTATCGTTCTACAGCCACATCGTTCGATCAAACGTAGGTAAGAAACGAAATATGTTACTATGTTAAGTTTAGCCATAATTTCTTTTAAAAATTTCATCTGCGAAACGCCTCTTAATCGCTGAACCCACGTATCGCGACCTCATAACAGGTCATTTCACACCAGCAACATCATCCCTTATGCAGGCGCTATCGAATCGCTGCTGCTGATGTCACTGCGACTACTCAATTATAAAAATCGCCTAACTCAAGGACCTTGTTAGGGCTGCTTTTATGACGACAGTGTGGACGTTCGGCCGCTCAGAGCGGTCAGTCGCCGCGGCCATGGCAGCGGTCGCACTACGTTGCGCCATAGCAGTGCGAGGTGGCGTCGACAGTGTATCGTGTTTAATATATATGTCGTCTACGCTGACATCTATATATTCTAAAAGCCAACGCAGCAGTAGCGGCTTGTCGGTGGTGCGACGGCTGCTGCTGTTGATAGATAAAATAGCCTTGACATTCGGCGGCAGTTTACCCGGCAGAGAAGGTTGGATTGCAGATACGTTGCTCAATGGCGCATACTACCGCCATCACGGCCGCCGCATTGCACTGCTGCTGACGTATCTGTGCTGCTGGGGATATCTCTGCTGAAATGATGACTGTGATCTTGATGACGGTAATATTGACGACGATGACAAGGACAAAGTGGCTATGCCCCAGATGAGTGGGAAGGTACGGAAGGCGCTCTCATCAGCGGCTATGTTGGCTGTCGCGTCTGTGACGACCAACAACCTTGGGGCGAGCGCGTTTTTTTTTCGTTTGCCGCTTTTGTGTGCCCGTGTGGTTTCTTCGGTTTGGCGCTGATGCGGTTTCCGATCTCTGTTAATACATGCGATTGCAATTTGAGAAATAATGCAAAAAGCCTGTTTCTGGGACACCAGGAGCACACAGTTGAAGTGGTATGTTTCCGTAAGATTAGTTTTAGCAACATGTGCAATGGTGGGAGCCGCACATAGACTGATGTTGATGACGACACGAATAATTTTTTTATTTTGTATAATAAAATATATGTATGACTTTGTCATGTAAAGATATTCTACATATAAAGATGGAATATTGCATTGAAGCTACCCGAAAATGTTTATTTTGCACTGTGCTATAATAGATAAGCAGTAATGACAAACACGTGCCAATTTGCAAAAATGACAATAGTAGACAAGTTGTGCGTCATTTTGCGCAGTCTTTACAGACAGATACGTGCTACGTGTCCATAATGTAGTATACTCCGATGATTAGTACCGAGCCTATTAAAACCCGGCGGAATGATATGTTCCACCGAAACGGTTTTAAGATCCACTTCTAAGATGCACCGATACGTCCGCGTGTATTTATAGCATCTGCAAGTAGAGCATGTTAGTGATTAGTTTCGTGGTATTCACATTTTATCTCTTGTTCACAGGATATGGATACCGATGAAGACGAAGGCAATTATGACTTCGGCCGATTACGGGTCCGTATTGAGAATTGGCGGAATACTAGTTCCAGGGCACACGCTCATAGGGGTCGCGACTATCAGATACACCAACAGCTGGGGCCGCATAATCAAGTGCAGGTGCAGATTCGCCAGGTAGTCAATGTCGATACGAGCGAATCGAACAACGGAAACAATGGCAGTGGTAATGGTGGTCACGGAAGAGAAAATGTTCGGGTCATTAACTCTGTTGGACAGGTACGCTTTAAAGACACTCCTGAGGTTGAAGAGACGGAAACAATATAAATCAAGCATTATATTGCCATCGACAAGCAATGGACAAGATTTCACACAGTACGGACGTGTTTAAATGTCGTGCACGTTCGGAACCTATAAAGCATTGCACAGCAAAATTCAACAGTTCAGCCAAACATGGATACGACTAATTAAAACTATTCGCATTTTGTGTCAATAAAAACGTATTGTTTATTTCCTTTGTTCGGTAGATGGACAGCTCCGACTCAGAAGATGGCAGCAGTTTGGACGGGGTCCGCATCTTTGAAGTGTCAACGCAAGGCGGAGGAGAACCCCGCGTCGAGGTACGAAATCCTCGAATGCGCGAAATTCCCCTTTTGATATCGCAGCAGCGGAGTAATGATCGTGTGTACCTTGTTGCGCATCGGGATCTCGGATCGATGCGTGAGCGAGCCCCGACATCCCCTGGCTGGTCAGAAGGATCTCCAGCGGCGAAACAGGACATACCGCGGCTGCTCTACTACCTCGAGGAGCCCAACGTAGGGCGTGGATTTATCAAAGAGATGTGTTTCAGCCCAGACGGCCGTGTGATTTGCAGTCCATACCATTACGGCGTACGCCTTTTTGCATTTGATGAACGTTGCTCAGAGCTCGCTGATTGCGTGCCGCGTCGGCCGCGCCGCCTAGCCGAGATCTCGAACATTGGTGACCACAAGAGTTACGTTGTCAGCTCGAAATTCTCACCAACTCAGCACCTTCTTGTGACTGGCTGCCTCAGCGGCAAAGTCTTCTTCCATCAGCCAAGATTTTAACCTCAAGGCTAGTCTAGACCATTTTTTGACCTGCCGTGTCTGTAACGTATAGTCAGTAAAAGAGAATAATAGCCGGACCAAGCTGAGCTTTGAGCTGTTCATGTGGTATCTGTGTGAGATGCAGTACAGTCATGTACGGCTTGGCGGTCATCGTGACTCATTGATGACTGGCGGTGTCATAGTGAATGTCGATGACAGCGACATTCAGGATGGCTTCTTTCGCTTCGAATGTCGTTGGTGTCGTCGGTAGTAGCAGCAGTTTCCGTTAACGACGAAACATTGAGCACAGGCGAACGAACCATTTTGGTAATCAATGTAATAATATAATTATCATAATAACAATACTAATAATATACCAACAATAACAACAGCAACATGGGAAAAGGCCGAAAATCAGCATTTTTTCAAAGCCAGTCGCAATATCAGCAAAGATTAATCGGGTGTGTGAGTGTGTGCGCGTGTGCATGTTAGCTGCTGTTTGACGTATGGGATGGCAAAATATGTTCGCTTCATGTTGGTTAACGCTTTTGTGTAAATCTGTTGTGCGCGGCCGCAATACAGATGCTGCTTGACGGCAAAATACAAAAACGATCGTGGCAAGAGATAAAGCTGAATGATTATCGGCCCACTGGTAGATCTATTATAGAATTACCATTATTATTATTATGCAGTGATGATGATAACGATGATTGTCTAGGAAATAGAAGGAGGAGACGGATTTACCTGGCAAGATGTGCGAATGTATTGGTGTAAGAGGTGAACATAGAGGAAAATGGTGAACGATAAGGCATATGCGCTCGCGCTGCGTCCCTGGCACGTCCTCGATGCTACAGGGCCATGCGCGGTATCGTGTTGGAAGGAAAGAAGAAAAGAAACATTTTCCTCGATTGCAAAGAAAGGCAAATCGAGGGGAAGAATGTTTAGTGATGATTGAGGTAAGATAAGATGATTCGCGCGATCTGAACGAGACTCTAGCACGCCGACTGGAGCCGATTTTGGGGTCCGAGAATACAGGCAAATTTTTAGTTGTGCAGTTGTTTAAGCAAACTCGGCTAACACAGACGAAACAAGACAAAAAAAAGACCGGAGAAGTCGACAGACACAACAAATAGTTACTCTTGCGGATATTAGGAAACAAGACACGCATTTATGATGGACTTGAATGGAATGATATCGCTGAATGGTATGGATATAGCTACCGTTGTCATCGTAAACATAGTTGTAATGATTATTATCAAATAATGAATTTATCTTAAAGTCATTAGTTAACATGGTTTCCTATTTTATTGAGTAATATTTTGTACGGTAGATTATCGCTTTATGTTAATGTAAAGGTTCAAATTAGTCTTGAGTGAAAATTCTCCTACACAGGTGTATCATCGTTTTAGCGAAATCCAGACAATATTGTTGTACATGATGGGTCGTATGCAACAAAAAGTAGAAGTCTTCATCAACAAAATAGGGTGCCTAGGCATATGTTATTTAGAATGTCCATAGCGAAGCTATGCTGATATAAAAAAAATCATGTTCTTCCTTTGGTTTTCTTTTTATCGCGCTCTGTGTTAGTAGCTATCATAAAACGTTATATTTATGCTTCTTATTTGGTTTAACTATTGAATACGCCTTTGCCACTTCTCCCAGTGCTTCTTGCGCTTACTGTTGCCTCTACCATTAGTGACAGACTACCAGAATGATAAGACGTTATGAAAGAACAACATTTACCCATTGCTTGTGTACGTACCTGTAATACTGCATTATATTCTGATACGTTAGCAGAAGAATGGGACAGACGCAAAAAAAGATATTTAGGTGTGTAATACACCATTAATTGCAGCAAAAGCGATAGTCAACCCATGTGAAGCTGAGTGCGCGCCTGACATTCATATAGCTTAGGAAATTTGGAACGGTTTAGAGACAACCTAGGAAGGAAAGGAACGCAAACGTCGACGTACGGGCCGTAAAAACAACACAACGATGGGCTCCAGCGGCAAGGTCTCTTTTAGCGCATAGATACAAAAATAATATAGAGAAAATTTCAGTATCATACGCAGACACAAATACACAATATTACTAACAGCGCTGCACACAGACAGGAGAAAAAAACCGGCGAACACAACATTCTACATGGTGATAGATATAAAGTAAATGCACAGATGTATCTGATGAAAGCTAGGAGACGAGGACAACAATAAACAAATTAAAATATCAAGCTCTAGACAAATGTTTACAGATAACTGAAAACCTGAGAACACTATTGGCATACAATTCATCGTGACTGCTAATCTAGTTTATTCTTCATATATATTAATTTTCTGGTGATAAATAATAGTCGAACCGTTCTTACGGACGGAAAACAAATAATTAAAAAACAAAAAAGTAATACTGCAGTAATATTAATAATTACTATTATTATGAGGATGGTAATAACCTAAAAAAAACTGAAACACAAATATGTTACTCAAAAACGACAAATGCGTTCATCTCGGCGACTACGACCTAAACCAAAGAAACATAAAGACACACTCGTAACAAATGATAAAAAGTCGCAATTGAATGGTAAATAATTAATATTATTACAAGTAATCCTGGTCATAATTTTCGAAGCGGCCACCTTGCGTTCTGCGGCTTCTAAAGGGTAATTAATGAAGTTCGAACGTTAAAAGAGGGTAATAACTTTGTATGCCGATTAAGATACACAAGTATAAGAAAGTGGTGATGTCAATTTCTAAATTATGGAAATTCAGCTAGCATAAATTAATGTAAAAGATTCTGAACTGAGGCTCTATGGCTCATAGCGAAACTAGGCTGTTCCAGCGTGCTACACGGGGTCTACTGCTATCATGTGCGGCCGATTCGTCCCCAGCTGGCAACGCTTTTTACAATGAAAATGATCCCCATAGTGAAAGACATCTTTTACCGCAAATGTCGATTACGGGTGTAGGAACAAGTCGTGTCTAACTGGTACCAGTCGTAGGAAACAGAGAGTCAATGCTATTCCGTGTTCTGTTGAGCGCAGCCGGGACGAGCAAGCAGAAGGATATCGAAGTGTGTTAATTGGTTTAATTAAGCCGAACCTTAATTAAAGTGCCTTTTTTGAATGGCACACACAAACAGATCAAGGAATTGAACGGGAAAACTAAGGTAGCGCAGCAAACCAACCGAAAATATGGGAACACAGAGAAAATGAACTACATTTCAACAACTGCTCGATACATGACAAAGCAAGCTCATCCTATTACTACGAAAAAAATAAAGCAATAAAAATAAACTTAAAAAATGTGGACAAATCTATTCCGAAGTGTGTTGATGATGTGTTACGTTGAAACGGCACAGCGAGACAATGGAAAGCGAAAAAAAAGCTATCACATTGAAAAAAAGATTAGTAAACTCAAGAAATAATTGAGAACTAACATATAAAAAAACATTAGTCATAGAAAATTGCTCAGTCCCGAGTTCAAATATGCCGGACTTGCTTTACGGGCTCGACTGCTAAATTCTAATTATAACTATAACACTGACAACAAAGTAACACTAATGGCAACACCGATAAGAACAATAACGATATTAATAATAATATCAAGAAAGTACGTGCATAAGTTGACTAATGCTAGTTTCATTTGATCACGCTTCGAACTTGGGTTGCTTCTATACAGCAGCATGCTGTTGCTGCCGGGAAGTGCTTGGAAGGTTTGCTGTGGGCGTATATATATAAAAAATAAAACGAGTTTAGGTGAGAGTAGGCAGGTAAACCAGACAGAAATAAGGGAAAGAACAAGCGAGTGAACGGAAATGACAGAAAGCGATATCCCGACACTCTTTGGACTACACCTAACTACGATAGCTATTTTTTTGTCTGACTGCCTTCTCGTATAAGATTTATGCCCAGTAAAAGAAAAAGAAACTAATGGGTTTGCGCTCAAAGGGAAACTGAGGTACTACGCTACACTGACGAAGTCGATGCCTCCAAGATACAACGACTTACCGTTTGTCAACTAAATTAAATTGTGCTGATCTCGGTGGTATATGATCTAGGTGAATGAATATATTATGTATCAGAATACAGAATCAGGTATCGAGACAATTAAATTGAGTAGCCCAGAAAAAATGACACTGTTTGACATGTCTCGCACCACATCCATAAGCTACCGTACCATGATCTGTTACAATTTCGAAATAATTGAACGTTTTTAGGTTATTAAATGAAGTGCAACACGCTCATTCAGTAATAGGGCTAGGGTCGTGATTATGTAAAATGGCTTTACTGTTCCGACACCATGGAGTTATACTCGAAAACCCGACGGTTTCGTTTTTGCAAAAAAAAAAAAAAAAAAAACTGTTCATAACACTATTTGTGAAATATATTCCTTCCTTTACCAATTTGTTTTAACAATTCTCTGTAGAAAATGGGTTGGCCTCACCCCTCTTGAGTCTATTTAACATGAACATTTATCAGGTTATTAGGTATTATTATATTATAAACATGAATTACAGCTCAAACGAATCAGTGTTCAAATGCTGAGATTCAGATACCCGATTGTTGACTATTTGTTGCCACTTGATGTACTATTCTCGATGTCTCATGCTCGCTCAATGTCACATGCAGCCGTTCCAAACCTTCAGGGAAAGAGCTACTATTTATTTCTGTTTCTTCCCAAGACAACTGTTGCTGCAAACTGCTGCTCATACACTGTTCCTATAGATATAGTTAGCGTATCCTAGTAGTATATATAAATCATAGACTACCACATATTATCTACTGGTAAAGCGTACAAGATTATTGTGACTAATCATTGTATTGTACTTTTCGTAATTTATTGTTTTATTCATTTCTTGAATTAGATGTAAGAATGATTGTAACTTTATCATCTCTAGTATTTTTTCATTTTAACGCGAGTCTGCATTTACATTTCTGTATCTATGTACAATGTAAATACACGTTTAAAGAAAAGAAAAACAGCTTAGTATACCGCAAATAGGCATGGAAAATGTAATGTATTTAGACTTTTCATTTATTTAGACTGTCTATTTTATCTATTTCACCACTTTACTGTATCCTATATTATCACTACTGTTACACCGAACGAATTTCGTTTCTTATATAATTGTTATTAATACACATGTTGCCGCGTAAAGGAGAGTTGGTAGTTAGTATGCAAGCAATTCGTAGGATTTAACTGTACGAACATTATCTATTCATATTCTTAAGTAGATAAAATAGGATATTATACTTTGCTCTGTGTGAGCAGATGTAGTCATTACAAGTTGTCCGACTTAGTAGAAATAAACAAAAAAATAGTGGGTTTGAATAATATAATAATGGTGGATAACGGTGTTGGCTGTAACAACAAACAAGTCTGTCGATTTTTTTATCACAATCAAGTGGCAACTTTATTTATTATATTTGGTCTTTTGTCTAAATTATCAACGATTTAGTATATGCGTTGTAGCTACAGTAACTCATTTGCCTTCACACGTTAATCGATTCGATTCTGTCTGTGAGGGCAAGTCAGTGCGTCATGGAGAACTATAGCAAACGAACTCTATCTCTAGGTGAAGGTATGAGGGCTGTGGATGTGTGCAGGCGATCAAAGACGTTTCGTAACAGTGTAAGACTCAGAGCTTAATCACGTACATATATATATATATATATATATATATATATATGTGTAACGGGTGTGGAGAGATAAAGAAAACGAGAAAAAAAACGCGTAAACGTTCCCTTCGAGCGCATCCGATGTGACGTTGTAAATAAATGCGATGAAATTTTATATGAAAATCGCAACAAAGACGAAAATAGTCTTAACAAGAACAATGGCAACAATAACGACAACGACAGGAAAAAATAACAACAAATCGAAAATCGTGCATAATAAACTCGTTTCCTAGTTGGACGATAACGTGTGTTTCTTCCCTGTGTGTATAGTAAAGCGCAACAAAATCGAGCGGCTTCATCGTCAAATTGAAAGTATCTCGCTTCCATTTTTTTTTGTTTAGTTACACTTACGAGCCCGTAGAAAAGATATTAATGAAGCCCTTAACTGTTTGTTAGTTACAATTACTTCGTTTTTAATTCGGTAGCTAAGGTTCATCGAAACTCAATATTTCTTTCTGGATAACTAAATTCCGAGACGCATTTTGGAATCGATGTTTAGCTAAACCAATCGACGCTGCACGTATAGCCAAGGACTGCGATAACGCTATCGTTTCTGGAGAAATGGGTTCTGCTAAACATCTTCAGCCACCATCTTAGGAGAGCCCCTTGTGTCTGCGAGAATTCTCTTCGTAACATCTACATACACAGTAATAACAATAGGGCTTTGTAAACATCAGCTTCGAAAACGCAAATAACACGGTATTTTCTTCATATTATTTAATTTCGTCTCCTTGATTGTCAGATTCGGCTCGCCTGCAGGCCTCACCGAAACGAGGTTTAGGACGAGACAAAGAGCTGTACCCACCTGCTTTTATGTGCTATGAAAGATTCACATGAGTGCACTACTAGTCCTCATAAGGTTACTGCTTTACAGTACGTTACTTTCAGCTTACATAGTTTGATTATGTCGGTAATTATCACTCTCATTCGTAAAGTCCTTTTGAGTGATTGAAGTATATAAACGATCAATTTCGTGGTTTGGTTCATGTGAGACGATTCAGCTGATCTCAATTTAGGTAGAAGATTATAGTGGTTTGACAAACGAAAGCCTGTGCGCAGTTTTCTTTTTCAGTCAGTCCGTCTGTTTAAATTAAGTCGCACTAAAGCTTCCATTCAAACAAATTTAGTGGCCCCAATCTTAATCTATGTCACAGACAATCTGTGAATCAGACACTCAGACAATCTGTGACTGTCAGCACAAATATTGCGTTTCTTTGAATATACAATATTTCTTTTGTATGATTTGCTATCTTGGCATGGACCAGACTGGTTTCAATCAGAAATTTGTATGCTGTCCATGTAACAGTTAGAAGGCCACAAATATAAGGATAAAAGTTTTTGCATACGGTACCAAATATGATAGTTACATGGTTTGTATCACATTTATTAAAATTCAGGTACGTAAAGATGAACAGGAAGCGGACCTATTTGTATGCTGATTGGGCGTTTTATGCTAATGTTTGATAAGCTGATTACGCGTGTCACAACGGTTCTTTTAGGTAGGAAACCTAGTTTAGGTCCGTTTACAAGATGAGCATCCCTTTATTAGATATAGAACCTAATCGTATCGTTCTCACTTTTGCCTAATCTGGTTAGCCAGTCTTCTAATTGGTCGATATTGCAGTTTATATGAAATCTTACAAACAAGTTCACAAAATGAAGTCATTCATGGAGATTACTCTAGAATATGAAAATTGGCCGGAAATTGTAGATGCGATATGTATCGAGAAAAAGACGACCTTCACAGTCAAGCATCTTATGGATACCACTGAAGCAGGAAGGAGACGTATGGATACGCTGCGAATCAGCTAATGATTTTACTAATGTGTAATATAATTATCGCTACTAAATACTAGCTTGAAGCTCTTCTAATATCATTATCAACTTTCCTAAACCATTTGTATCAAGCACCGTACCGAGTGGCCTCCTCATTTAATCAGTTGGCTGCTGAATCTTGTGCGACTGGCATCTTTTCAACTTAACCGAAGTACAGAAGAAATCTTGCAAAAGATAGCTTATACACTTGAAGAATATATTGGTGAACAGGTATCAACAGATGAACCTGCCTTGGAGGGGGGGGCATTCAATGGGAGGGGGGAACACGGCACTACTACGACTACTGCTACTAAGATAGTGTACGGCAACAAACCATTGACAAAGAGCAATCATTCAGAAGCGAACCAGCCTCTACTCGCTGACATGAGAAAGGGGCAAATTTTCCGTTTCCTTAAGAACAAAGAGCGCCAGCTATGATCGGCGCCTCGACAGCGCCCACGTCTGAAAATAGACTACAGCCAATGCGATGATTAAAAGTTAGTGGTGACCCATTGTCACAAGGCGCTACTCAAGAAACTATGAGTTCCTTTTTAACCAGCAACTTGACGTCGGATAATGGCGTGTCGCCAACTCAAATAAGAAATGCAACTAGCACGGCGCCAATTTGGGTACAAATGGAGAACTCTGTATATTAGTTAAGCTCGAACACCAACACTTTCCCGTAAGCAATAGGTGGTTTATGAATTCAAAAACGCAGTGTATAGTCAATGATGATTCACCTTTGTAGTAGTTAAAGTTTGGGAGTTGGAGATGTTGTCGAAGTACCGGGATCTTGAGTTTTCGAGAAGTGTTGTCCTATTGTTGCTATACAAACAACGTTGACCCTTCGTTTTGAAAGCCCATTGGATATTTCTAAATAAAAACTATTCGAGAACACATTTTTGATCTCTGGGGCCCCCTTCCAGTTCAACTTTATTTGAATACTCTGGTCGACCCAATAGGCAGCCAGTAATGCAAATTTGTTTTTAAGAAAGGTAACGTGTTTTGTTTGTAATCAAGGTTAAGGTACATATCATATGGATACGGCTAAGCATAAGAAGCTGGAGCTGGGCCGTTGCAATGCTAGCATAGAACCTCTTTCTCGCTTTCTCGTAGAAACAGTCGCTTCCTGTTTCATAAACATGAATGTGTATCGAATTATTTCAAGCTTGCTGTTAAAACGGATTCATTAATGTGGTTTTGGGTATATTGTCCTTAATGAGGTCTTAACGAAAGGCATTATGCAAGTCACCCTCCATAAGAAGTTTTATTCATAGCTACGAAATAAATCTCGTCGACGACAAGTGGTGGCTGACAGATTCAGCGTCTAGTCAACAGAAAGCTGACCAGGCACCAGCAATATGATTCCTATTTTGGAAATTTGGAGTTTCAATGGAGCTACACGGTCAGACAAGTTTCTATACCAAATACGAAAGTATTCCGAGATTCAGCGAATAGCCATAATGGTTTTCGAGTGGTTTCGAGTAAATCAATCGTCTACGGTTGATATTCTATAGAAATTATAGTAATGGATCAGGAGAACTGAGGCATCTCAGTTCAATGTGCGTGATATCCTTCCGTTAAAGTCAATTCAGCTAACTTGATTAGTTCTTGGATTAGTAGCTCGTAGCAATTTCCGAATTTTATAATAAAAACTAGAAGTATCAGCTACAAAAAGAGCTGGATCATCCGGCTTAAATCCAACTGAACAACGAAACTTCAAGACAACACCACACTCATGTACGTGATAAACGGCCGTAAAAGAACACTTGGTTGGTTTCGGTGAAGGCAAAGCCTGACACATTCGTTTTTATTTTCGAAATTTTTATTATTGAAGTTGACCCGAAGAATGTTCAGCTCAACGTGACCGAAGTTATATTGGTCAATGTCTATCGCAAACATGCATGTGAGTCTTCTACTTCATTTGTGAAAGATGTGTAAGTAAATTAAATGTATTAATGACTACCTCTCTGTTGTGTTCAATGACAGAGGTTAACAACGAAGTAAACACTGCTATATATATGCCGTTTTACTCAATAAAGGTGGGGATCCAATGGTTTGACTTTTGAAGACAAATTTGTATTCCAACAAATGGCGCTTCCATTGATTGCATAGGGAACTATCATAAAGTTAGGTATGCTAATTTCAGTCGGAAGATGGTGAAGAAAATGGCCCATTCTGAAGCATTTTTTTTTCTTTTTTGTCATATTTAGACAAATCACAAAAGTCATGAGTGTCTGCATCTGCCATTTTGTCACCCAGTGCTCTCTATATAATTGCTAACGGAGCAGTTGTGAGTTAGAGGGCAGGGAATACATAACAGAGCAATTTCCGCGCTGCGTTCCTGAAGAATGCGAAGTCAGAACTATCAACACTATGGATACACACAGAACAGAATTGATGATTATTATGTATAAGGGACGCCCTAGGCACCCTTATCTATATGAGTTTATGCTTCAGCTATCAGCATAGTAAAAGGCTTCTCTTTTCCAGTAATTGACATCCCTCTGAAAAAATATCATGGCGACGTATCATTTGAAATAAAGATAAGATTGCGCAATAAGGGAAAGATAATATTTATTATACTCCAGACCCCTTCTAATGATGATTATCAAGCGAAGTACCTTTCGGGGAAGTTCTCATGACACTTCCAAATTGTCAACGGAACTTCGGCCTTCCCTGGAGCTTTGTTTATTTTGTTGAGGTACTAGTACGCAAGTTATAGGTGTTTTGGAAAATGAGACAGCAAAACTATTGAGTTGTGTTAGAACCAGAATAAAATACGATCGTGGCTCATAGGATAGTTGCAATGAATTGATGAAATAATCCTCCATGTCAGCGTATGAGGCCAATATGAATTAGCCCCGAGCTAAGTACATTCTGCTGTGAAGAACGTTTCGTAATGCCTACATGTGTGTAACTCTACGTGGGTACTGTTATGAAATGTGAACTTGCCTTGAAGATATTGTACCGACCTGCAAATCCATTTGTGACCTCTATCTCAACCATCCCTATTTCCATATTCACATACATCGAATAACTACTATAGTGTCGGCTGGACGTTTTCGGGGCACGAACAGTAATGAGTCGTCTACTGACAGACACAACCGGACGGTCATTAACTGGGGAATTGGGGTTCTTAGTTGAGTCTCTGTGCTGATTGTTGCGGCGACCTACTACCTATTTTCCAAAAGCCAAAAACGAGCAGCTAGAGAATTACCAGTGGTGTGAATAATAACCTTTTTTTGTATAATGTCTAATAACTTTTTACGTATTGGTTTATGGAAACTTAAATGAATTAATGTTGGTTTAAGGATGCGGAGGAAATTGTTGATGTATCCTTAAATTGAGGAGGGAACGGTCCAACCGTCGTAATCGGGCAACGACTGAACCTTGCAACTAAGCGCACGTCAGTATGTATTTACGGGTAATGGAAGTTAAAGTTCACATAACCTTAATCAACGTTTAATTTTTGCGTATACACCGCGCCATTATGGACCAGAGGGCCAATCTCATTATTTAAAAAATACTTGGATGTTTAATTTATGGAATTTGCGGAACTATGTTCGTGTGAACAAGTGCTTGTGTGAATTCATTATTATACCTTACGAAAGTTACTTGTTAACTTGCTGTTTCAGTTAGTCACAAAATAATCGGTACATGATAAGCACTCTTTGGAAAACAAACTTGGACCCGAAATATAGAAAATAGTAAACAGGATATTCATAACTGGATTGTCGCTAACTGACGTAATAAGATACGGCATTTTTTATTGTATTATAAATCTATCGTAGCACGGAAAAGACCATATATCCATCACTCTCTTCTTCATAGCCCGTATCATTTATTCATATAATTTATTTAGGATTCAGTTGTGCTGTAACTTAGTTCATTCTGATCTAACAAAGCCTAATTAAAATTTTGCTGCAATGGAATGAACGAAATTACCATAGTTCAATGATTCGGACCTGATTTTTATATCGAATAATAATAATACTGTAGACTTTTCCGTGTCTCATGTGGTCCAGTGTGTGCGGGACGCTTACAATTTGTTTGTCACAAAAATGTCACTAAAAAATCAACAAGTTTGCAGTCTGTTCCTGCCAAGCCCGTCGCAGGTGGTTAAAAGAGTATTTCTACCTTATACGTCGAATCGCAGTGTACGTGGAAACTTCTCGTAATTATCACATACGATTACGTTAAAATATGCGCGGTACCAGTACACTTAATACGAGAGGGATTGCTGATACGGCGACCATTTTAATTTCCAATTCAAATACGAAGAAACGGTTTTAGCTTTTGTCCCCTAAATTTCAATGTCTTAGCCTAAATCAGTGATCAAGTCACATGGAAAGACCTGGATGCTGTCCTAATAGAATCTTAGGGATTTTGGTTTGCAAACAAGCGCAACAAATGTAAACGACGCCAAAATTGCCATTCGTCCATGTTTAGGAATGACAAGTTTAACGGTTCTCCTATAAACCTTTCTGCCTCAGAACTTTTCTGTACGTACTCTAGTCTTTTCTCGTTTTTTATCTTTCCATTTAGGCATTTTGTACAGTAGAGCACCTTCGTCGCATCCAAGTTATAACATAACCATTTTTCCACGAACGTATAAACACTTCGTTTCGTATAGATAGAATTTAGCCACCCATAGCAATGCTTAATTAAGACAGTATTGGACGTAGATGAATCGACACATAAGGTTTCGTGCTTGCGCCGCTGTAACATGTCACTTATGGCGGATTACTGACACGTTAGAGTACCTATTACCGTGTCGCACAATTAACCCAAGCAAGTTTCATTTGACACAGAATGTAAATTAGGTAAACACTTCTTTAGCGTGTAATTTCTTGTTTTTGAGCATTGCAACAAGGAAACGTGAAGTTTACTGAGGTTGAGACGGGTTCTATTCCCGCGGGTTAAAATGAGGTCATCCAACAGCCTAGTCATATTCTCGGGACTTTCGAAAAGTAGTTTAACGTTTCCCAGATCTTAGTATATATTAGATATGTTGTCAAGTCTAATTACCCCAATAATCGTCGAGACATTTCAATGCACTTTTTCTCTCTAAGTATAAATAAATAAATGGCGAAAAAAAAAAACAAATTTACTTATAGTAACTTAACTTCCATTCAAAATATTGTGGGCTTACAAACATAGATAGTAGTCAACTGCATTGAGAATCTTTGTTGAATACATTGAAAAAATAACAAAAAATACAGCTGTTATATATTTTGTATACAGTTATATACAGTTTGCCTACAAAATACGAGCTTAATTAGGCCAACAAGCCTAAGTGGGGGCGGCGTCAACACAGCTTGCCCTAGGATTAACTTTTTAAATAAAATTTTTCTCAACTTTGATCAAGGAAGAATTTCAGAATTAATTATATTGTGTTATTCTTTTGCTTATCACCCCGCGTGTAGGACCAGAATGAAGGGTCCGAATTCGACAACGCCATCACTAGAAACGTAATTAAGCGCTGAGGCATCTAATACCCTCAAATGACAACAAACATATAAACTCGATTAAATTATTGTTTTATTAAATAACATTTAGTCTTCAACGAAATGGCTGTCTTCATTTTCTATAACATGTTATGTCTAGGGATGAATTTTACGCTAAACGCAATTGCTATACTTCTCAAATGATGAACCGACTAGTATCTTTTGAACAAGCTAAATCAACATATCTACTATTCATGATTTCAGATAACTAGTCTGCTAATGAATAATGTAGATAAAGTAATAGGCAAATGGATCTAATTGGCCTCATTTTGTTGATTATTGGTATCAGAAGTTGAGGGAGTACATCGAAAGTAACCCCCTGAGGTGTATGCGACTTCCACGTGGCATTCTATTATTAAGGCGTAATGCGAATATTGCGAGCAGAGTCAAATCACACAATTGAATACGTAGTATCCAATCAGTAAGACATATTTGCTGCTTGACATGCTTCTGTTTGAGCGTGATCGCTGCAATATCACATATAGATGTATTGAACATAAGCTGTGCGAACGGCGGAGAGCCTTCAAGGCGCGTTCCCATAATGCTGCAATTCCGCTGTCTCCTCCTTTCTCTCCTTCTCTCTCTCTCAATGGGAAATTTCGAAGAACGTCAAGTGTCCCTGTTGTCTGATCTGTCCCTTGACCCGTTCGCTCAAGTTCACGATACAAACTCACATACAAGACAAGCTCGCACGGGATACAGGCGGACGATCAAAAAGCGAGTTGTCGCGGCGAGACGATTAATCATTGTTATCGTATTGTTGTTCGGGCTTTTGTTCCTGCTGCTTATACTATACCCCGACCGCACCTAAAACGTTGGGTACAATCAAATAACAAAATTATTATTATTTATTAAGTAAGTCCACTAAAGGAATGAGTTTTCGCGATGCCTATTAAATTAGCCATTTTTCCATCCTTACAGTCCCATTCATACGTGCATCGTATGGCTGAACAGTAGAGCCAAATGAGGACCACTGTTTCGATGTACATTTCCCTTATATTCAGTACTGTAATGTATAGGAGATATGTATTAAGCAAACTTTCATTATTATTGACCTCTTGTTAGTGTGCTTAAAGGCACGAATTGGCTAACGTGTTTTCCACTAAATTAGATCGGAGAGCCCCTTGATCTTTCTGTTGTGCCTGGATCTCTAAAGGTCATCTCTGGCCTTTTATTTTGTCTTTGCCGCACTATTTGCATTACGGGTAAACGCATCATTGCCTGCAACGCTAATAGATTGTCCGGCGTCGATCTCGCTGCTGTACGTTCCACTTACGAAAAAAACACCAAGCTTATGGTAGTACCTGCCCGTAAACATTAAGAAAAAAGAAGATGGAACTCATTTACCTAACATGCGAAGTATCAGAGCATCATCTTGATATTTTAATTCAAATATACTCATGTTCAAAACATCAGCAATTTTCCGTCATCTTTCTTTATATCTAGTCAATTTGAAAGGGAGAAAACAGACTATCAACGATGCATTAACCCTTCGTGTTGTTAAAGTCATATAGCAAGAGAAAGAATCTAGTATCCAAACCGAAATATAGTCACTATTGAAGTGCCATCTGTGACGGCCATGCCTCCATAACTGACCTAAGTCGGTAATTTTAATTAGAGTTTTTGATAGGAAAAACGTCCTTACTCGCAGTCATTCTTTGGCAATAATATATCCAGCAGCTGGATGTTTTTGATGCGCTGAACACCGAAGTCAATGTCTTCCTCACTCAGCTGCTTATACGTTTGGCGAATGCATCGGCGATCGTCAAGCCTGCCTCGTATCTATAACATGATAGAATAGAGCAATCTTGGGCACTCTATGTACTGCTTTGCTTACTATTTATGAACCTGCTCTCTATTCCCTTCTGCTTTGCCCGAAGGCGATGCTCCTCTTTAACAAAAGCTTTTGATTCCTTTTTACACTCTTAACTAGGTTGATATTTAAGTAAACCGCGAATTTCACCTGCTATCGAAAGGGAATGCAGACACGTTTTGCCGGAACGAAACAATAGGGAGTCCTAAACTGAAATCGCTACATTGAAAATGTCGATGTTGTTTGCCAATTGTGGTAAAAAAAAACTGTGGTTTGTTGGTACATGTCGCACACATACTTGTATATGCATATATATACAACGAACCGTTTTATAACGGTTTTGCCGCAATTGGTGAATAGCAATGGCCTGTATATAGACAGACATATACAACATAGCGAGTTCCGTATAGGACCGTCCCCTACTAAGCTAAAACCGTGCCAGATTCAATCCAGTGATTTTCTAGCCTTTAACGAATGAGGCACTATTGCTTACCTGTGACTGCATATAGATACGTTTTAGTAGATACCGAGGTCTTACCTGAAAAATTGTTATGTGAGGTGTGTAACTGTCATATTCAGACAGAGAATACGAAGTTTTCCCGAAAAGCTCAGCAAAGCTGCGATTCAGTTTATAAAGATCAAAGTTTAACGGATCCACCTGCGTTAATACATACGGCGACGAAATGAATACAACAAAAGATATTTTCGTTATTAGAAACAATGAAAACTTATTAGTAGGCAACTGCCGTGCGGGCGCTGCCAATACAAAAATTGCTCTGCAAGAGCCTACTTAAAAATAGCCCTTTTAAATCTTTATATGTATTCGATTATATACCTCTGTATAACAAAGTTAACACAGAACACCTGCGATATTACTTTTTTTTATTGGCTAATGACACAGAGGTAAGTGCGTTTGATATCCCCTCTCCAGCAAATTTTCAGCTGGGCGGTACCTATAGGCAGCTGGGAGCAGCGTGATGTGTACAGGAACGAAGTGTATAAAAAAGCTTAAAAACATAGATCATCAAGTCCGAGAACTCAGGCCGTTTCGCCAGCTCATGCGCTTTAAATGAAACCCACAGAATCTAACCGGCCTATACAACACAACAATCATGAATTATATTGTTAACATAGGACCAATACCTTTACATATATCACACGATGATCATCGAATTGGCCGAGGCCCCGCAAACGTAGGCTGGCGTCTGGACAGAACAAAATATCCGGAATGCTGTAAAAGCAGCGGAAATCAAATTCAAAAATATATACGTTCTTTTTAGCCATCTATTGCAAAAAAAAAAAAATATTTTCACTACTTTTTCTCACGTTTCGGTGGCACATATACGCGTTTGTATCGTCTACCCGACCGCATAAAGGGATTGTATATCATCTTCGTCAAATTAAAATCATTCTGTGTCTGAGGAGCTGCATCCGTGTAGTATTTTAGCTCTCTTACTCTCTTACGAGAGCCTTCATCGAGGCTGAAGCTGTAATTCGTAGAGAACAACATTCTCGAAGCAATTCTCTGACTTACTCTTACGTTTTGCGGCAGAGGCTGATCTAATAACCGACTATTTTATATATTGTAGCGACTTACCATGTCCGCGCGGCCTCGTTCATGACCGACGAGGAAATCTTTGCTCGTTGATTCTCGTCTATCCGGGCAGTGCACACTGTCAAATGCAGTTGACATAGAGGTTGCAGAAAGCGCCTCGCTGAAGGTGTGCCCTGAATTAGCCGCTGCTGAAGCTATTTATCAGAAAAAGAAAGCCGAATTCAACGCTCAAAGTTAAAGCTTAAAGGCTTAATGAAAGTTGAAGTCTTCCTTAATGTTAAAGCTTAAAGGTTTGATGAAAGTTGAAATTTTCCTTAATGTTAAAGCTCAAAAGCTTAATTAAAGTTAAAGCTTTCCTATCTAAGATTCAAATGAAGCTAGCAGAAAAATGTTAACACCGATTCTAGCTTGTTACGATAAATAGCTATCTGGAGACTATAACACGAAATTAAAAAAATACAAATTATATTGCCCTAATTAGTAAGGTTCACAACTGTTCCTTTATGTTTTCAAAGAGGGATATAACTGAACCATTAAGTTTAGATACCTTGAAGATGCGGTCCCGGATAGCTGGGTCGTCGATCTGACAGCCGATAAATACCTTTGTGTAAGGCCTATATTTAATCTCGTGGCGATCATATAGGGTGCTTGACTTTCTTGCACTAGCTTCCAAGCACTCACCTCTCCAGTCATCGTGTTCAGCATAACGTGACATGATAAGCAAGGTCCGCTAGCAATTCTAGCTGAAACGGCTGAAAATCTACTCTCAGCCCATGAAATGGAATGGAAATGTTCGTGTCCGTTAGTGGTATGTATCAAAAAAATATTTCCACATTCAAACACTCCATGGGTTCATCGCGTTCAATGGCATAGAATAAGGCTTCCGATTTTTAAAAGTCAGTCTCTAACTAGTGATTAATTATTGACTTGGTGAACAAAACTGGCCGTACGGTTTATGCATGTAGGTTGGAAGTAAAAAAATAACAGCTACACAATCTAGCACAATTCTAGCTCCGACAATCGTAATCTATATGAGTATATCTACAGTCCGTGTTCGAAACGCCATTACCTTTATGCTGAGTTTTACGTCCGGTACTTTATCAGACCACTAGCTTTTTGCACAAAACGAAACTATCTATGTCTGGGTGCGAACCAAGACCACAATGTATTCCGCAGACTACGGAGCAAATAAGCTATTCACTAAATTATCACGGAGACCGACGACCATGATGTTTTTTGAGCATCGTTCTCTTTTTTGTCAGGATGCTTTCCATCAAGCAGAACACCAAGAGCAAGTCACCAAAAAATAATCGTTACTTGATGAGCCCTGCTTAGAAAAGGAATCTGGTTTCGAAATTTCGAATCATCTAGAAAACTATAGACTTTTTTTTGCTTCCGTTGTATATCTTGTTGCGCCGTGTTCCATCTGTTCCACAATGTGTACGGGATTCTTACCATTTGTTTTCCACAAAATGACCATAGGCTCGTACATTTATACTAAAAAATCGACAAGTAAGGAAGAATCGTTATATTTGCAAACTGTCCCTGCCAAGCCCGTCGCAGGTGGTTAAAAGAGTATTTCTACCTTATACGTCGAATCGCGGTATACGTTGAAACTTCTCGCAATTATCACATACGATTACGTTAAAATATGCGCGGTACCAGCACACTTAATACGAAGAGGATTACTGATACGGCGACCATTTTAATTTCCAATTCAAATACGAAGAAACGATTTTAGCTTTTGCCCCTTAAATTTCAATGTGTTAGCCTAAATCAGTGATCAAGTCACATGGAAAGACATGGATGCTATCCTATTAGAATCTTAGAGATTTTGGTTTGCAAAGAAGCACAGCTAATGTAAACGACGCCAAAATTGCCATTCGTCCATGTTTAGAAATGACAAATTTAACGGTTCTCCTATAAACCTTTCTGCCTCAGAACTTTTCTGTACGTAATCTAGTCTTCCCTCGTTTTATCTTTCCATTTAGGCATTTTGTACAGTAGAGCACCTTCGTCGCATCCAAGTTACAACATAACCATTATTCCACAAACGTATAAACACTTCGTTTCGTATAGATAGAATTTAGCCATTCATAGCAATGCTTAATTAAGACAGTATTGGACGTAGATGAATCGACACATAAGGTTTCGTGCCTGCGTTGCTGTAACATGTCTCTTATGGCGGATTACTGACACGTCAGAGTACCTATTACCGTGTCACACAATTAACCCAAGCAAGTTTCATTTGACACAGAACGTAAATTAGGTAAACACTTCTTTACCGTGTAATTTCTTGTTTTTGAGCATTGCAACAAGGAAACGTGAAATTTACTGAAGTTGAGACGGGTTCTATTCCCGCGGGTTGAAATGAGGTCATCCAACAGTCTAGTCATATTCTCGGAACTTTCGAAAAATAATTTAATGTTTCCCAGACCTTAGTATGTATTAGAGATGTTGTCAAGTCTAATTACTGCAATAATCGTCGAGACATTTCAGTGTACTTTTTCCCTCTAGGTATAAATAAATAAATAAATGGCGAATAAAAAACAAATCTACTTATAATAACGTAACTTTCATTCAAAATATTGTGGGCTTACAAACATACATAGCAGTCAACTGTATTGAGAATCTTTGTTGAATACATTGAAAAAATAACGAAAAGTATACAGTTATATACAGTTTACCTACAAAATACAAGCTTAATTAGGCCAACAAACCTGAATGAGGGCGGCGTCGGGAATCTTGCCCTAAGATTAACTTTTTAAATAAAATTTTTCTGAACTATGACCAAGGAAGAATATTAAATTAATTTTATTGTGTTATTATCTTGCTTTACGAAGGTTACCACCCGCGTGTAGTACCAGAATGAACGGTCCGAATTCGAAAACGCTATCACTAGAAACGTAATTAAGCGCTGAGGCATCTAAAAGCCTAAAAAGTTTTGATTAACTAATACCCTCAAATACGCCTAGTCCTGCAATGACTACAAACATATAAACCCGATTAAATTATTGTTTTATTAAATAACATTTAGTCTTCAACGAAATGGCTGTCTTCATTTTCTATAACATGTTAGGTCTAGGGATGGATCTTACGCTAAAATCAATTGCTGTACTTCTCAAATGATGAACCGACTAGCATTTTTTTAACAAGTTAAATCAACATATCTACTATTCATGATTTCAGATAACTAGTCTGCTAATTAATAATGTAGATAAAGTAATAGGCAAATGGATCTAATTGGCCTCATTTTGTTGATTATTGGTATCAGAAGTTGAGGGAGTACATCGAAAGTAACCCCTGAGGTGTATGCGACTTCCACGTGGCATTCTATTATTAAGGCGTAATGCGAATATTGCGAGCAGAGTCAAATCACACAATTGAATACGTAGTATTCAATCAGTAAGACATATTTGCTGCTTGACATGCTTCTGTTTGAGCGTGATCGCTGCAATATCACATATAGGTGTATTGAACATAAGCTGTGCGAACGGCGGAGAGCCTTCAGGGCGCGTTCCCATAACGCTCCAATTCCCCTGTCTCCTCCCTTTCTCTCCTTCTCAGTGGAAAATTTCGAAGAACGTAAAGTGTCCCTGTTGTCCTGATCTGTCCTTTGACCTGCTCGCTCAAGTTCGCAATACAAGCTCACGCACAAGACAAGCTCGCACGGAATACAGGCGGACGATGAAAAAGCGAGTTGTCCATCTTCGGCAGCAGCTGTCGCAGTAGACGATTTATCACTGTCATGGTATTGTCGTTCCTGCTGCTTATACTACACCCTGACCGCACCTAAAACGTTGGGTACAATCAAATAACAAAATTATTATTATTTATTAAGTAAGTCTACTAAAGGAATGAGTTTTCGCGATGCCTATTAAATTAGCCATTTTTCCATCCTTACAGTGCCATTCATACGTGCATCGTATGGCTGAACAGTAGAGCCAAATGAGGACCACTATTTCGATGTACATTTCCTTTATATTCAGTACAGTAATGTACTCTTATAGGACGTATGTATTAAGCAAAGTTTCATTATTATTAACCTCCTGTTACTGTGCTTGAAGGCACGCATTCGCTAAGGTGTTTTCCACTAAAGCGGTTCGGGGAGCCTTTTGACCTTTTTGTTGTGCCTGTACCTCTGAAGGTTATCTCCGGCATTTTATTTTGTCTTTGCAGCATTATTTGCATTACAGAAAAGAGGTGTATAAAAAAGCTTAAAAACATCGACCGTTAAGTCCAAGAACTCAGGCAGCTTCGCCAGCTCATGCGCTTTAAACGAAACCCACAGAATCTAACTGGCCTATACAACACAACAATCTTGGATGATATTGTTAACATAAGACCAATACCTTTACATATATCACACGATGATCATCGAACTGGCCGAGGCCCCGAAACCGTAGGCTGGCATTTGAACAGAACAAAATATCCCGAATACTGAAAAAGCGGCGGCAATCAAATTCGAAAATACAAATCAGGTCTTACCAGATACGTTTTTCTCCGCTATTTGTTTATGCACTGCAACTAAATTTATAAGAAAAAAGAAATACTGTTTTTTCACGTCTCTGTAGCACGTAGGCGCCTTTGTATTGTGTTTAATGTGAATCTGAGCGCACAAAGGCACGACGGCAATGTGCACGTTATTATCCTTAACGATGAGAATCATGTGTCATGTTAATCAAACTAGAATCATTCTATAATTGAGGAGCTGCATCCATCCAGTGTTCTAGCTCTCTTACTAGTAGCCGAGATTTGTTGACGAGAGCCTCCATCGAGGCTGAAGCTTTAATTCGTAGAGAACAACATTCTCAAATCAATTCTGTGACTTACCCTCACCTTTTGCAGCAGAGGCTGATCTAATAACCGACTATTTTATATATTGTAGTAACCTACCAACCCAAAAGACCAACGAGAAAACCTTTGATCGTTGGCTGCCCTCTATCCGGGTAACGCACATTGTCAAATGTAGTTTACATAGAGATTGCAGGAAGCGTCTCGTCAAAGGCGTGCTCTGAACTAGCTTCTGCTAAAGCTCTTTATCAGAAAAAGAAATCCGAACGCAATTCTTAATGTTAAAGCTCAAAAGCTTAATTAAAGTTAAAGCTTTCCTATTTAATGTTTAAGTGAAGCTAGCAAAAAAATGTTAACAACACCGATTCTAGCTCATTACCATCAATAGCTATCTAGATACTACAACATGAAACTAAAAAATCCAAATTATATTGCCCTAATTAGCAAGGTTCACAACTGTTTCTTTGTATTTTCAAAGGGGGATATAACCGAACCATTAAGTTCAGGTGCCTCGAAGATGCAGTCCCGCATAGCTGGATCGTCGATCTAACACCTAATAAACACTTTTGCACGGGGCCTTTGTTTGATCTCGTGGCGATCATCCCTGGTGCTTGAAGTTCTTACAGCAATTTCCAAGCACTCGCTTCTCCAGTGGTCGTCTCCAAGGGAGCGTGACATGACATGCAAACTCCGCTAGCAATTTTAACTGAAACGGCTTTACTCTAACCTACTCTCAGCTCACGAAATAAAATCAAAATGTTTGTGTCCGTTATTGGCCTATGTTACGCTGGGACCATGCTATTTTTACATTCAAACATTTCATGGGTTCATCGCCTACAATGGTTGTACATACAAAGGGTACAGAAATAACAAGGAAAATGTCTGAAATTATCTGTGCGACAATGGCATGGAATAAGACTTTCGATTTTTCAAAGTCAGTCTCTAAATCATGAATTATTGACTTAGTGAGCAAAAATGGCTGTACGGTTGGTGCACGTAGGTTGGAAGCAAAAAAATATAATCGCATTATCTCGTTGTGTGCACTATCAATGCAGCTATAACCGCCCTAGCTCCGACAGTCGTAATATATATGAATATACTTACGGTCCGTGTTACATATACCATTACCTGTAAGAGGATGAGCCTTTGAATCTGCAGCGGTGACAAAATCACGGGTTATATCACATACCCGAATTGGAGTTCCCTTTATGTCTCTTCAAAGGTCACGACCTTTGTAGCATAAAGACGAAAGGTCACCTTAATGTTCGTGGAGAGCGTTGCTGAAGACCATTCAAAAGCAATCATATGCACTAGATGACCACTAAGACAGTCGAATGCGCAATGTATCGACACACTAGGCTGTGCCCAACATTGAGCAGGTAGCACCTGGCTTCCGTGGTAACCTTTTGATCCATCCATTACTGAATTAGGGCTTTTTCGTATTCACCCAGATTACTAATATACGCAGGATTCCATGTTTTTCTGCTAGCGCTTGGGCTCCAACGTAAATAAGACTGCCCAACTCTCTTCAGGGTACTGTAGTTTACCCCGTCCAATTGTACCCACTTGGAAAAGAGCTAAGCAAAAACATGATAACCGGGAATGGCAGAATGACCGATAACATCTAAACTCGTCTAATATCATGTGTATCATCCGTGAATAACGTCACTGCAACGGGTGCAACATAACGGCTAAACATTTATGCTAAAAAAAAAATTACGAAACATAGAATAAGATAGTCGAGCCTTAATCAACTGAGTAAATGTTTCGAGCTTTACGCCTTTAATTAACGTAATTGTTGGTTTTCAGCGCGAAATGGACTGTATTTACGCCCGGTCTCTAGACATCTACCGGTCCTCAAGTTAAGTAGGCAAACAGATTACTACTGCATCATCGTGGAAACACCAAGATTCAACTAGAACGTACTATTTTGTTAAGAAAAAGATTGAACGAAGACATTCAAATGTTACCAGGTAGGAATCCGAATTTTCATGTTGCATATATGTAAAATATAGCAGCAAAGTTGATTTCAAAGCAAATTTATCGATGCTCTGTTATTCTAGCTCAAATTGATCATTACTTAGCAGCATTATTCATTAACTAACATAGTTAAAATGATTAGAATAATAAAAATGATAATAACTACAAGTCGACGCCTCAACTACCTTGCGGATGTGTTCTAAAGCGTCGTTACTTGCAACCATTTGGATAGTTTTTCCAGTACCGATTCTAGCTACAAGGGCTATCAATGTTTTTCATGTTTCACGCTCAATGTCTTAAAGCCATTAAAGGCCATTTTAAACGGCTGGGTTCCGTTTACCTAGGGTCGAACCCGGACCACCACAAGCTCCTGCGCTGAGAAAGCAGACAGATTATTCACCGAGAAAGAAGTTTTAAGACTTTTGATTTTGCCGCCAAATCTCGCGAGGTCAATTTGTTTTTTGACGCATTGGATGTATGGATGGACCTACGATAATGCACATTTTCAATTCAATTCTTGCATGTACACTTTGTATTGAAAAGCTTATCGAGCGACCGTTTCTAGAAACAAAGACGGTACTTCATAAGGGACCGTTTCCGAGACGACTTTTTGTCTGGAACTATCTCAATAACTCTAGCCAATAAGTGTTAAAAGGCATCGCAGAATTGTGATCATATGGGACCCCAAATAATTTCTAAAACCTGCTTGTCTCATGGACAAAAAAAAAAAGAGAAATTAATCGCACAATTGCAAATGAAGTGCGCTGAACGCCCGGGTGCGCACGAGGCACTTCGTTGTTTATGCCTTATACGCACCTTGTTTTTCAAAATTGTCTGTACGTACGAAATCAAGACTCCTTTTCGTTTAATATGTAGACTAATGGCTCATTAGTTACTGACATACAAGTTCTACTCATCTAATATTTCTCTCATCTTATTTATTTTGTTCTCTCACGGTTCACATGAATTTGTGATTTGCTATTTTGATTGCCTAAAGTGGAAAAAATATCTAACCGCTTGATGGTTATTACTGGAGTCATTTTGGCGAGGAAAACTAGATTGTGTAAATTGAAAGACGACAAGTGTCCTATATGTTAGCTTCATAAACAATATTCAAACCAACCAAGCCTGCGGTATTCCCTTTTATCGCAACGAAGGAAAATATATCATTATCATATAACATTAGACGCTGTTCGGACTTTGTAACTTATAGAGTGCATAAAAAATTCCTACAGCTTTTTTCGCTGGATTGAGGAAAAATATTGTTGTGACTACTATAATCGTGATAAACATTGCTAATATGTGTATAGACAACACTGAAGTGTTTATCTCTTTTATTAGCGTTTTTTATTTTTCCTTATAAACGCGCGTTTTTTAACGAAAGTTGAAGAAAGAAAAGTTGGGTTTCAAAACAAACCTCATCGATATGATCAACTACTATGTTTGCATATGTATATCAATAAAGTTTAGCTGATCGATGATGCCTGTGTTTTCAGGCTGCGCTAGAAACGTTCTGCCCGTCTGTGCTCAAGTTTCTATGGGTAAGGTAGCCCGTTGTTTATATAGGTACGTTCTAGATGGGTGAGTGAAACTGTTTTGTTTATAGAAGCCAGTAGAGAGAGACTATAGCTAAATGTAGCAGAGAAGCTAAAAAAAGAGCCAATTAGGGTTTAAACAGCGGCTTAATGAAGCCGTAGCTCGACGTTCCTACATATTAGGTTCTAGAAGACAATATTTAATCTTGTTTGGTATTGCAATCCACTGAATTTAGATCTATTTTATTTATTAGTTTGTAACGACAGCTATTTGACAGTGTGGTGGGACGCGCGACCTTTCAAGCAAAAACACGCGCTTGCTGCTGTCTGCATAGCTGAGTGTTAGCGCCTAAAAGTAGCACAATTCCTGCTGTTAGGCGTACAATTGACGCATCATATTTACATGCTGACTTAAGTATAGGCATTGTTATTCTATAATTTGATGAGTTTGTTGTATTTCCTGTAAGTAATCAGCGGCATTAGTATAGTTATCGTCGTCCCTTCTACGACTGGGACTCTTGTTGCAAACTTTGGCGGGCTTAGTTCTTCCACTGGCGGCTGCTAAGTGGTTCAGTGGCATTTAGTCGCAATTTACGCGATGCGGTTTGATCTAGTTTTAAATCCTGTTCTCTGTGAATATAGTTTGTGTGATGAAAATTTCGCCGAGCGCGCTGGGCGTAGCCCAATAAGGTAAGGATTGCTTTTTGTGTGCCTACGGCGTGGACGTGAAAAGTGTCTATGAGGTGCGCTGGCAGAGGAAGGCCCATTTGGAAACTGACATGATTGCCCACATTCTCCTGTTTTACCGTTGCTGTATCGGGCCGGCGTCGTTTACTGGTGAAACCGTTGCGAGTAGTCTGATAAGAAGCAGGTCATTTCGGCAGGAAGAAAACCGTATTGCAGCTGTCTGACCGTGCAACGCAGACTGAACCAAATTGAATCTGGTCATAACTGGAGAGCGGCCATAAGACGAAGAAGCGTTAGTGCCTCGTATTTGTTGAAAAAAAAACAGCCTGATCTGTTAAAGCCGACAATGCTTGAAGATGAAGGCAAGTTCGGATCGATGGTGTTGGCTAGTCACGTAGAGCGTCGATGTTTCGTCGGTAAAAATATCTGTTTGCGTAAAAGCTGTATGACCGAAGTTGGTAATTAAAAAAAAATGGGCACACAGGATGGAGGTCATCACCTACCCCGGGCAGCCTGCTCTTATAGTCCGCTGATGCTGTCACTACGGTCAAGCTCACCGTCCGTCGACCCCTTTAACAAGGTGTTTGCGTTGCAGATGGCTAGTGCAGCTGTTGTTGTAGAGTTCTAATGAAGTAGGTAAAAGTTCGAGCGCTTAATTGACAAATTAGGCAGTTGTCGGTTGCTTAATTTATTGGGTAGCAAATACAAAATTATTATTATTATTAATTGATATTGTTAAGTGCCGATGACGAAGAGAGACGGCCATGCAGGTAACTAGCCAACAAAGATTAGCCTCGTGCGAACCACGATCCCTTATTTTCGCATGGAACTACCACTGTTGTTGTTGTTGTTGTTGTGGCTGGTTGTAATAACTGTCTGTGACTGTTGCGCCTATCAAGCAGCCTTTTTTTCGTTACTTCTCATAACGCTGCTGTGGAAGCTACAATACTTTCACTTATGAATGGTGAAAAAGCGCAGTGTCGCCAGTAAACAACAGATGTTTCATGACGACTGATGGTTTGTGCTTGGATTCAGTGTGTTTCCATACGAACATAGACATCTATGTGTCGGCGTATTAAGTCAGCCGTTGAAGCTGTTGTTGTTGTTGCATCAGTAGGCCACTGCTATTGGTGCTGTAGTGGCGATTACTCGTTTTCCGTGTTTCGGTACTGTTGCCTAATGGGCGGATGCGATACTCTAGTTGGGCATTTTGCGCGACAACAACAACAACAACTGTAACGATCGGTGCCACGATACTGTTTTTCAACGGTTGAACCAACAGAACAGAACAGTAAATTGCCAACAACACCCTGTGATAAAAGGGAGTCATCCATTAATTAGAGAGGCTGAAGGGGACAGATTGAACGCGATACAAGCCCACCGCAGTTTTCGAAAATGCATAATCGGTCCACATGGTTGAATTGCAAATGTCGATGCTGCCGACTAGCTCTGGGTACATGGATACCTTACGGCCATAGATAGGCAACAGGATTTAATGCGAATGAAGTCGGTCCTATTTTACTGTAATCTTGTCTTTCGGTAACTTATGATGGCTAATCTTCGTCTCGTTGTCACTGGCTTATTCGGAGAAAATAGAAAATGTGTGGCTGAGCGATCTCTGAGGTATAGTGTACTGCTGGGCGTGTGAGCGTGCGTTCATATGCTTATTTGTCTGTCTGTGTACAGTTCAGCAGCAACGGTAACAATAACTCGACTGTTTTGTCGGATGCAAGGGCGTCTGCTGTGAGCAGAGTTCTAGTGGTGTACGGTAAAGGTTTTCTTCCTGTTATGGTTCTTTAGCCGTTGTCTTCTGTCTGTCCGTCTATCCCAAGTCAATGAGATAGCTGGTAAGGTAATCGATCGGTACGATGTGTAGCTTTCGGGTTTTGTATGCATTCGTCAATCAGAGGGTCGGTGTTTTTGGATATTGTTCGTTCGATGCGGGTTGCTCGTGCTTCTCAATTCGTGCCAACAACAGCCGACTGTCTATGCTGACAACTTTTTCATGGCCGATGACAACTAACAGCAGCTTAACGAAATGGTAAACAAACTGTGGCAAATAAGACTACGTGGTAACCTTACCATTGCCTATATTAATATGGCGTAGTACCAGTGTGGCATAGATGTTTTTCAAATCGCTAGAGTCGCAAAATAGAAGCTGTGAGGCCAACAAACGCGTCTGTCTACAGCAGAATCGGCGAAGAGATAAGGCCGATGAACGAGTATATCTTTAGTAGCCATTGTCTATAGTAAATTAAACTATGATTTTAGTCGTTGGTTTCACTCAGATAGATCTGCGCATTAGATTATACTAGATTGCTTTGCTGGAAAGAACGTTTCTTATATTGATATGTATTTCCTAAGGTTACTTAATACGTGAATAATTCCTTAATCATTGAGAGAATCGCCAATATATTGTACTGGTTTTGGCGTTAGCTCAACTAGGTATACTGAAGTAAATAAGCCATCATACTTTATTTATTACAGGGTGGACAAATACGGTGGCTTGCGCTATTGTGAATATATTTTCAATGAACCTTATTTACTAATAGCTAACAAATAATCTGAACCCTAAAAACTAATGCACTTTGAGTTATGATCGTGAACCATAAATAGAAATTAGCGACCCCTCTTCCGAATCGTCACTGCAAGTGGTAACGAACTTCACTAATGCAACAACAAATCCAGAACAAAGTTGCATTTAGACTTGTATTTTACCGTACAGTGACTCCTCTTCTAAAGAATGTCCTAGCATTAAAACAAATTCAAATTGGCAGGGCACTTGTTTACTTTCTTAGTCGCCTGTAGCTAGCCTGTGTACAGCTCAAATAAGTTTTTGGGATAATCTGCATGCCTGCAAGGAACACTGTAGACAATAGTTCCGAGTTAGCTAAACTTTGAATGCTTCTGTGGACGCCAGCCGGTACCCATCGTCAATAGTCAGCTGTTTCTGGTACATTTTTGAATACTGTTTTACGTTTTGATTGTGCGTGTGCAACATCACACGCATTCTCGTGGTTTGTGGCGCATGTCAACTGCGCTGTAATGCTTTAACATGACTCTTTCTATATCACTGTACTTAAATTTGATTATAATTGCCATATGCAAATATAGAAACGGGAATGTTAATTACGGTGTACAGCTAGTTCTAAGAACTTTTCAATGAAGTCGTGTGTTAGCCACCATAGTTTGTTTCATTAAGTCTTCATTTACTGCCAGCAAACCGATCGGAACCATTAGTCAAACCTCGAGGAGGAAGGCTCTGCATTTGCCTATAAAAAGCAGTACTAGCATGAAATAATTATTGTGAATATATGTTCACATTAGCATAATATGTGCCCTATGTCATAACTAATGCACGTTATTTGCTGTCACTTTTGATTGTAGATGCGCCTCATAGCGCCAGCTGAGAGGCGGAGCGCTGTCCATAGAAGCGGTCGAAAGCGCGATTAACAAGGACCGTTCAACGGTCAACGGTTTGGCAAACTCGGGAAAGATCGACTAGCTGAAGGAACGACCTGGCTTGCAGCGACCGTGGCTGGTGGAGTGAAGATTTTCGGTTGGAAACAGAAGTAATCGGTGACTTCGATCCTTTTGAGAGAAACAACGACAATTTCAACAACAAATTTAAAAGTGACTGGATTCGGAAAGCGTATGTAGGCTCGGAAACAAACAACCAAACCTGAGCAAACGAGACGTGTGGTTTCCGACTGTATTGGAAACAAACCTTCGCTTCACAAGCGCACATTGCTGATCTAGCCGTTAATAATAACGGGATAACCCTTTTACTACTGTGTTGTGACCGCGATGTCTTCTGCGACGCAGCCGCTGAATTTGTCGGGTGTGGTGGTAACCGATGTGCGAAGTCTTCATTGGCGCATTGGAGCGCATATTGGATCGGGAGGATTTGGTTCTATCTATTTAGGTTAGTATATAAATTTGTTCAACTAGTTGCTATAGTTTAATCAATTATTTTGATAGACGAGGTAGTTGTACTTTAACATTTTTCTGGACACACGAAATCTGATTTACGTAAGGGCGAATTCGTTAATATACACATAGAGACGAACCCGAAGCGTACCGGAAAGTATGTTCGGCGAGAATTAAACAATGATTTACAATTTTAATTGTTTTCGGAGGCCATCTATTAATAAAGTCCGCTGATTTTTTTATGGACCTAAATTAATGTACGCAATACGTATATTAACGTAACTTTTGTTGATTTTCGTTCTTCGTAAATTAAAAGCCTTGATGACATCATTGACCATTCACAACATTTTTTACGTTGAGTTAGCCATTTTCGATCACTGAGACTTGTGTTATTCGGTAGCAACAAGTGGTTGATTCTATTGAGTTAGCGTTAAAAAATATTTTGTTTATTAAGGATATATTTCAGTTATACTTTGCATCAAGTGCATGACATGATTGTTGGTAGACACAATGTAGTTTACAATTGGTCGATTATAGAGTAAGAGGACAAAAGATTCAGTGTGCTTAATTTAGAAACTTCTCGAATTAGTAATGCATATTGCAATGTTCACTAACCGTTTGTGAATCTGATATCATAACTTTTTGCGGATGTAAGTAATAAATTTGTTATAGTGATTAACTGGCCTGTCGCACTAACTACATATTCGTATTGTTTTCTAGCGTGCGAGGCGAATTCGGGTTTATTGGAACGCGGGCTGGGTGTCCCCGAGGACACACGGATGGCCATTAAAGTGGAACCTCACGATAATGGGTCGCTGTTCACAGAGATGCATTTTTACCATCGATGTGCCAAATTAGACAAAAGTAAGTTCGAAGTTTATAATGAAGTTACGTATATAAATTATTTCTAGTTAAATAATGGATATTTTGCACGTACATTCCTTATATTCAGTTAAACGAAACGGAAACTAATAGAATTGTTGACTACTCTTCACGTTAATTCCCAGGGGCTAACTTTAATACTGAGCATTACATTCCTTGTTCATTTTGATAATTCATTTTAGTGGAGGAGTGGCAACGGCAGAGAGGGCTCGACTATGTTGGTATGCCACGCCTTCATGGATCAGGTTCCTTTGTGTTCCGCCGGCAGAGATATCGGTTTATTGTCATCGACCGATTTGGAACGGATCTACAGGTAAATTATTATATTGAAGGTATTGTGCTATATGAGAAACTACTCTTACCTTGAGAAACAACTACTTCTACTTCTTCTTAGCTTTTACTCCTGACTCTAGAGAAGGCTCAATACATCTGCGTAATATTCTATATTGTTCGTTTACTTTGTATTGCAAAAGTAGGCTTGTTATTTACTAAACGAGTATCATTATTCACTTCGCAATGAACACGGATGCTCAATGAAACGGTTTATTACCATGTTAATATTGTTCCTTTGATCACAGACAATCCTCGGTGTTAACGAGGGACGGATGCCGTTGAAAACGGCACTGACGGTAGCTATTCGAGTGACGGACATTCTCGAGTACGTGCACTTTCACGGCTATGTGCACAAGGACGTTAAGGCGCAGAATCTTTTGCTTGGTTTTGACGATCCGAACAAGATCTATCTCGTCGACTTTGGCCTCGCGTGTCGGTATTTCGTTTATGAGTCGGGTTACGAAGTTCACAAAGAGTTAAAAGAGGATCTTCGGCGGGCTCACGACGGTACGATTGAATTCACCTCACGAGACGGTCACCTTGGCGCGCATTCTCGCCGCAGCGATCTCGAGGTAGCCTAGATGTTTCATCGTGCAACTAAGCGAATGCAGCATTAGCGTATAAATCGTTATACAAACGTAGTGGATTAAAGTTTCGTTGTCTATAAACAGATGCTGTCTACAAAATAGCTGTTGTTAGTCTTGCAGTCCAGAACTAAGAAGAATTTAGAGTGATACGGGCAATATTAAGAACAACTTTAATGATGGTTTTAGGTGTTATTGTACAATCTGATCTATTGGATCTCAGGAAAATTACCATGGTCATCGAACCGCGAAGATGCGGAAGAAATTGCCAGCCAAAAGGAAATTTATATGCGGGATCCGCAAGAACTAATGGTGGTTTGCTTTGGAAGGTTTGTTGCGTTTCCTCTAATACTGTTAGGTATCCCTTAAAAAATGTTCTCCGTGTATTTTATGTGCATTATGCAATTGTTTCACTGAATTCAGTGCAACCACACTTTAAACATTAAGTAATTAATCCAGTTATGTCCAGGTCTTTTTTGTTAGAAAAACTGCTGATATCATCGTTAGATATGCAGGGATTCGTATAATGTATTCTATAGATTCGTTTTCACTTTGAAAAAATAAGACAAAGAGATTCAACTAGGATTTACTAGTGGAACCGTTTTATATTTTGTGTAAAACACCATCTCAGTTAAAAACCTCCTAAATTTACGAGGATTATATGAACCTGCCACACAAGGTTGTATGTTAAATCAAGTATTACGTACAGTCATCTCGCTGGAGTGGGTCGGGTGTTGAATTATGTTTTTTAAACCTCGAATGCAACGCTCTTGTTTGCTAACATAATCGTCCCAGTTCATCAAATGATAATTTGTCATATGTATGTACGTTTATACGCGCGATCGGTTAGGTCGTAGAATGCTCTGACATTGTGAACCGCGTCATTGTGAAAACTGATTAATCATCCAACGTTCCTTCCAACCAAGATAGCAACTTTCACCGGTCGCTATAGGAACCGATTCAGATAGTTACCTTGACGTATTGCTGCTGATGCTTGTTAAAATTACAGGAAAGGTGCGCCTCCCTACATTTTAGAGTTTGCTAATTATGTCGCCAGACTCGACTTTCACGAGAAGCCTAATTACGAGCTTTGTCGTGAAATGTTTAAACAGGTGAGGAGCTGAGTAAAGTGCCATTCTTATAAAATGCTTTACGATTCTCAACAGTTTTTTCATCATTAAGTATGGAAGTAAACAACCGCATCCTATTTAAATTAGAAATGTGACGCAGGATTAGTAGACTTCGCACTGGACTTGGTTTAGGTACCAACCAGGTTGATATCTGCTCAAAAGTACAGTGCTTGTGCTTCAGGCAATCCTAAAAAGCGGCTTCCGACACGATATGCAGCTTCAGTTTGAAGGGGGCATCGTCCGTATACAAAGCAAACGAAAATGCCGAAAAAGCTTTCGACTTGAGAAGGAAAAACGCATGCGTGTGGAACAGGAGAGTCAGGTAAATATACCTCTACTATGAAGACGCCACAAACAACAGTAATACGCCTATTTCATGTCATTTAGGGAGTCACGCCATTTGACCGTCTTTTTTCGGTATATTTGAAATCGGTATACTACGTAAGAGCACTGGCAGTGTCTAATATATAGATATGAAGGTATCTATGATCAAATTTAGTTATTTGTATAACTTTGTTAATGCTCATCGTTTGTCTAACGGTCACGCGCATTTTTAGGCATCACTGTCGGGTTCATCAAGTGGTTCGGTGGCGGCAACTCGCTTAAGGCGTCGTACCACGAACGCCGCTGCTGGAACGCACGCGGAAGCCGTTGCGAGCACGTCGGATGATGACGACAATGACAGTTCGCTGAGCGACAGGCCCTCATCTGTGAAACGGAGCTGTTTCGACTCGCGGCAAAGCAGCGGCCGCAGGACTGGTAGGCATCATTATCCACCCTCGCAAGATCAAGAGGTACCGCAGGGTCCTACCCTGCTTATGATCGACCACGACACCAAGGAGGCTCGCCGCATCAACTTGTTTGAGCTGCGGGAAGCACAAAGGGCGTACGAACTCCAGAGGGAACACTTGATGAACGTGGCCAGAAACGAACTTCGCCAAATGGGCGAAACCGCTGCTAGGGTCGAAAATACCGCCGCTGTCGTGTCAGCCGCCCGCTTAGGAAGAATTACTAAAGATGCTAGAGGCAAGGCTGTCGTGCAAAAGGCTAAAAACACCAATTTGGTGGGAAAAGACACATGGCTGGGTACTGGGATTATTGCGGATAAAAGGTGTAATATTAGCAGTAGGCGAAGGATGGCACGGCGCACAGCGGCGCAATTTCAGGGGACGGGGAAAGTCCAAAGGCATCAGAAACTCAAACAGAATAGAAATGCACGGGTGGCTGCGAACACGGCGTTAGTAGCGGCTAATGTTTCTCACAATAACGTCGTACAACAAGAGGGGAAAAATCGGGTATTGGCGACAGACTTGACGAATCCGCCAGTCACGCGACAGACTAGGCGTCGAACCCTTAGGGAACAAGTTGAGGCAAGCGGGATGGTCACGATAAGAACTTCAGGGGCCGATAAGACAGCCGGTGCAAACAGCAACTATTTGAATGGGCATGGTCACAGTCACACTGCAGTAAATGGTAAAACAGCCACAGAGCGGTCGTCGAAAGAGGCCAAACAGCCGCAACTAAAAAACAATAGTGGGGGTACAAAAAATGAGCAAAAACGAAACAATAGTGGCCCAATGCAGTCGAAATTCTGTAAAGAGTCTGGTCACAAAGAGTCTGGCTCGTGTAGTCGAGGAGTGACAAAAAAAAGCAGCTTGAGGTGTGTTCGATTTAAGAACGGGAATGGTCAACAAATTTCCGTTGATGTGGCAGGTATGTCGTTAAGAAATCGAAGGCTGCCCCTTACCGAGGTTAGCAATTCGAAATAAGACAGCAAGTAAGGAGGCGTGAAGAGAGCGAACCCAAGTTGATGCGAATTACGCAAGGCCTAGATTTGGCTATTAACGCCGGCTTTGTTTTCGTTTCGAAGTTATAATATACGCTAGCAGTTATGTTTTCCAGTTGTTGTAACGGTCCTTGCTCACTCAAATGTGATTCACTGAATCCTTTTATTTTAGGGGCACAAAATATTACGATTTGTTGTATTGCGCTTGCTGTGATCTCTGTCAAGTTGCAGGTAATCGTTTCTACGCGATTATCTAACTATACTGCTCCTGCATTTTTTAATACGGAGTAGTTCAATAGAAGCGAGAGTTTCCCCCATAAGGTTGTTTCGATGAAGAAAAGTTAAGACAGTCATATTTGAAACGAGAACTTATTTTGCGTCTAGAAAGAATACCTGTGATGAGTGAGGGTCACAATGCCGTACAGAACAATACTGATCAGGGAAATTCTATGCTACCGCTATTGCTAGTGATGTGGAGTGCATTTGCTTGCAGCACCTACGGCTTCTTAGATTTAGTTCAAGACTACCTGATTTTAACTATAATAAGTTCGATAAACGGTTTCGGAGAGCGATGAGTAGGATCCGGCAGACCACCAAATGACGACGTTATGTCAAATGCGCAAGTTTTCTGGTTTTAGATGTGTGCTCTCTGTCGACTGTAATCGTATTTTTCTCGATAAGTGAGACTCATCGCTCTAGATACAGAAGGTGTGTGGATTGTCACAGTTGCTTATGATTTACATCAATAATGAACTATAACCATTAAGATCAACCTGTTGACAGTGAGTAGAACAAGACGCTTCGATAGAATTCCAGTCGCTTGTTGGCGGTTAGTACAATATAGTATTCTATTAAACACTGGTGTACAACGGTATCCATTGCGATGTGTCTATCTACAGAAGCGTTTATAATAATTAGCCAGTACCAGCAGATTTATCTGCAATTTCAGTGGAATTGTAAAAATGTAGGAAGCATAACGGCATAAACCGTCGAACAGATAAAACTAAACCGAATATTATTCAGCTAAGTTGAACAAACGTCGAGGCTAATGAACTGAAGTCGAGGCTAATGAACTGAGGTCGAGCATGTCTCGGCAGACAAACGCTAAAGGACGTTTTGACTTACGGTAACATAGTTTGTTAATCGTCGTTAAAGTGCAGTGAATCGTAATTCTTTATGTAGTCTTCTAAACGAGCTGTGTATACGCCGGTTTCTTAAGTTCGGGTAGAATAGGTTTAACTAGCTTAGTATAAAAGCAGGTTGAAGAAAACACAGTAAGTCGAATGGAAGGTCTTCATTGCGAATGGGCTTATGCTCATCGTCCTTGTTAACTGAACTGTACGTATATAATAATTTTCAGTTCTTTACATATATGTGTACAAAATATATAGTTAATAAGATTGGTTCTTTGTATATAAGTTTGAATAAATAATTTCATTATAATTTGACATTCAGTTGTTTTCCTTTCAGCTTCTTTGTTCGCAAACTATTCTGTTAATCTGTCCGCCGCTCTGCTCTTCTCTTTTTCTCGTATCCATAAAGTTGTTGTGCGTAGCTTGTTTGCCTTAGCAACGCAACTATAGTCACAGTTCATTCCCTCTAGAGATCGTTTTTCAAATGCTTTTTTCCACATATTGCCTCAGTTGCATGACACCGTTGGACCAAGCTTAAATCGATCTTCGCAATGTTGTGCTCTGGTCAAAAGTACCATTCTCGCCGCCACCTCGACTTTTAGCGGGTTTGCGTTTAAGACAACAGGGATTTTTGCACGGGCACTTCTTTGAAAAACTCTGTTGACAATTCAGCCACATCAGATCATAGCAGATGAGCCTTCAATTATATATTTGATTTTTGCGCATACGCACAGACAAACAACGTAGGTTGCGAATGCAATATGCACCTCTATAAGCTGCGAATGCAATGTAAGACCACATCAGATTGAACCTAATTGCACTTTAAGCCTGGAAACCTTACCTGCTGTTTACTCGCCAATAATCTGAGCACTGTATGGTACTCGACCTGACCCAAAAACCCTAAAAATCCCCTACAGTGCTACTGAACGCACCTGTCACTCATTCAGACTGGTAGATTGAATAAATGTTAGCGCTGCTTTCGCCGGTACCTTGACGTCGGACATACACCGAATGCTATCGCAATGGCTTACATAAAAGGTGCGTGCTTGATCTAAACGATAAGGTGTTCAGGCACGAAGCTTTTCTTCCTTACGATGCCTCTTGGTGTGATGGAAATTCTTTCTAGACTAAAACTAGAACATAAAAACAGTGGCCTAAATACGAATGGTTTGGATTTGTAGTAGACCGAAAAGGAAAAACATATCATTGATCTGCAGAAATGCTAGACCATTTCACTTGAGTTGGCGACAACGTTCATGTTCGTCTGCAGAAAAGTTACCCAAATGTAATATATTTAGCCAACGAATTCTGGATATAATTATTTTATTTAATCAAACCTACATTAGTATATATGTACTTGGCGGGGTTTGCGCCAGTAACCTTCCAAGTGTTACAGCCGGAGGCCTATTCGGCTTATCCAATAATAATAACAACAATAGAATTAAATCAATTCGGGCTGGATTGGATTATTATAACTTTATGATGGGTTCTTATTGCATTAAAATACCTGACTAGTACGTCCTCTTAACTGCAGTAGCAGCATATATTAGTGTGTACAGCAGGTAAAACTCCTTTTTTAAAGTTATTGTTCTTTGAAAAAATTATTTCTCCTTATCCCTTAATTGAACATAGTGTAACAATAAAGCCCATTTCACACCACAAAACGAATTTCATTTAATTTTTATGTAAGGTCTGTTCGCTACTCCGCAGATAAGTCCGGGCGTAGGCACACCTCGTCTGAAATAGCACCTAATGGCTTTTATACCGGACGTTAAGCACATAAGGTTCCTATTCATGGGAGAAACAGAAAAGTGTTACGTCGATGAGTTTAGGGGGAGGAGGTCACTTAGCTAATAGTTGCAGAAGACGAGGTGTTAACAATTACAATTTGTATAGAAATGTTTGTAATTTTTTATTCTCAGTGCTCATGGTGTCTAAATATTATTGATCCGCATATATAGATCGTGTTGAAATATATGCATGCAATGTTTATCGGGTCGTCGAAGCCACTAATAGTCAGCATTATATTTGCAACATTTTCAATACACAATCATTGATTGAAGCGAACTGATATATAATCCAGGGACGAATTCTAAGTAAGAAATCTTGTTTATTCTTATCTGAAACTTCTGTATATGTTTTCGCTGCCTCGTCATCACCTGCTTCTTCCATCGTCATCGAACATTCTTTGCTATTTGATCTCATCGACCTTTCGACTTATAAGGCTCGACGCGCAGCATAAGTTCGGTCGCGAGTCCTATGGCGAACGGCTGTCACAATTCTAATCCCTTCCCCATGTTCAACTGCTTCGACCACAAGCCGTCCGGTAAGTGACCGTCTTTTTTAACAATAGGAAATTTTTATCTTTTGTTCGTTTTGTAGCTACAATCGTTACACTGTTGTTGACAATGTGTATAGTTATTGATTATAAAGATTTTGATAAAGCTAATGTTAAATTAAACTTTAAAAAGGGTTTTCGCGCTTGATCCTTGACGAATGGTATGAAAATATAATTGAACAATATTATAGGTTTGGAGAACCCGACGCCGGCAATGCAGTTGTTAATGGACAAGCTCAAAATCAAACTTCATTCCTTAGTGAATTCTGGTCCTCCCGTGATGCCGCTTTCATTTAAGGACAGAATTCTCGATGCAGGTATAAATAATCGTTTTTATAATGCCCAAGAATTTTTGGTTCTCAATAGAACCCGGCAAATTTGTAACATTAGTTACGTCGTGTTTGCTCAAAGTGTTCACTCTAGCCTAATCTAATTGATACATGCATGCAGATTTAGAATCAATAGAGAATTTGAATAGCTACGTTTACTTTTGCTTGTAAGCGTTCACGGTTCCACACTTCATATACCCTTACACCGCTTAACATGAAGTTACTTCTGCTCTTCCTTTAGGTGATCTCTATAAGGCCGATAACGTAATGCGGAGAAGTCGCAGTTACAGTCCTGAAATTGCGTAGCGGGTCGGCGATTTCCAATACCCCTGTCGACCCATTGTAGCCTATGGTCTTCCACGAGACTCGGTGTCAAGACGGTGACAATTTCCAATCAGAACGGGAAGTCTCTACGAAGCCCTTACACCAAAGCTGTTTTGCGGACACCACTTCATGCAATTAGGAAGCGTGATCCCAATGACGTGGCTGTGTGGTATGGCTAACGCATCTATCACGTTTGAAACACGCGCGAGTCCGTGTGGCATTGTGAGTGAGGCCTTTGAATTTAGGGATTTCTATTTACTGATATGATGACCAAACATAAATGACACAAATAGGCATACAAAAAAACGGATTGTAGGAACTAAGTATGGAAGAACTAATGAATCGTACGCATTTTAGACAAATTGAACTCGGAGTGAATTATCAGAAAAAAGCAAAAGTCCTATTCGGCTTCAGCTATAATCGAACTGACAAGACAAATGACTTTAGCGACGCAATCAATCTGTAGGTGTGGTAGCACTTCAATTGTACGTACAATCATCCAGTGTTACTTTTAAGTATGTTAGAAAGGAGTGGTTAAGTGATCACTGCAGCCCCTGAGTCGAATCACGCAATTACACGACTTTTTCTCAAGACTGATTTCACGGTCTGAGATGGTAAATTTAACTGTGTGCATAGCCTATTTAAATTATCTCATTATAATTATTATTACCATTATTTATTATTTTTCGAGTGATTTGTATTGCGTGGATCGCTTGCTATAAAGGTGTGAACTTACATGGTAAAATGGTGGATGCGATCATAGAAGACAGACAAACAAAGATATTAAGAGCCGTAGTGTTACTTGGAAGCGGTTCAAGAGTATCTGGCGTCATAAAACACTTAGTCTTCTAGGCGACTTTTTTACGATAAATAGTAACCAAATTGGAAACGAGCGTTTAAGTCAGCAAATTTCGACTAATAATGAACCTAAAAAATAGAAAAATCCTTTGCATTATAGCTCATTGAGATCTGAATGATAAAGCGCGGACCTGCCAATAATCGACAAAAATAACGAGTCTCAGTTTGCTTAAAGCACTTGCAGTAAACTGTATTTTTGCAGCTTTGAAAAAAGCTGCCTTTGCAAATGTTGAAGCGAAGCTTGGGCATAATTTTTCGGTAATCCACATCGGGTATCCAAATGCCTCAGATGCACTGGATAGCAGTATGAGTCTCTTTTTAAAAATAATTATTGTTAAGCTGTCTTTCTTCCCATAATTATGTCCCTTTCTGGCTGACATAACTATTGGCTCTATGTGGGTTATGATGCATGGAAATATTGTAGGTTTTTTGTATTAGCCACACTGCGTGGTGGCACAAAGACGAAATAATTCCGGAATCAAATGAGTCTATTATCGAACTGCAGAAGCGTTCTTTTGTCAGTTACATTTATATTTCACACCTGATATCCAGATAACTGAACGAAGTTGATTCGTTGAGGCGAATATTCATGAACTTACTATCCTTATCTGTTACCATTTTGGTGCGATGGTGAATCGATCCCTAATCAATGTCGATATCCTGAAATGCCTAATAGGCCAGTTGTGTACTTTCTTTTACCCAATATCACTACGTGTGGGTAAGCTTTAAATTGATTGTTAAATGAGTACAAATGAGAAAATTGTTTTAACGACGTTGAGTTCCACTCAGCTCAGTTGTCTGGTCCCACTGAAAAGGCTGGCTTTGGCGACGAAACAAGTACCAACCAATTCGATCAATTCAAAGTCACATTAAACAGTGTAAGTGCGAGTAAAAGAATAACCGATATACGAAAATAATACTAATGGCCCTTGATATTTGCTAGCCCCAGGAAAGGGAGGGGGGTTGATGTCTGCGACATCTTTAAATCTATTCTTTTTGTAGCAGTGCAGCGATGCATGCACATATTTGCAAAAATATGTGAACCACTACTCAGTGTAGTGCCGTTGTCAGATTAAACTTTTTCGACTTTGAGGCACTTTCCAGCACCTATTATCGAAATTAGCAAGTATCTGGGAATGATCGTTTCAGAAGGAGGTGGATCAAACGAAATATTGAGGGTCAACAATTATCTGACAGTTTTTTCTCGTGAGTGTGCATTGCAGCGATCGATAACAACAATTTTAGATAGGAATATCTGAAGAACACCTCCGAAGACATTTGGAACTCTAATGAGTACACAAATTTTCCAATTTTCATCGGATTGCAACCTCCATCGATGGTCAATAGACTCGCATGCAATGAAAAAGTTAGAAAACTCGGCTTGAAGCGACATAATATTACTGGTTTAGTGATCTGTGTAAAGCTACTTCGAAATGGGAATTCTTTCTAAAGATGTCTTGCTGATCAGCGTTGATATAATACAATGTCTTTTTGATTGAAAGATTCATAGTTAAAATGATCGTTAGATGGCGGTGTAGCTAAAAATTATTACGTAATGCCGCACCAGATGGCGCCGCGGCTAATAAAGTGGGCCGGTTATGTTGTACATATGTTATAATTCGTATGCGCATTAATCTATACAATATGAACACATGAATATTTATGCCCGCACCAAGAATTGCTATGATCATAGCTACTTTCAAATGTATAACAATAGTATGGACTCAACAATATAATCGTCCATAATCTATAAGTCTATAATCGATATGGGTAATCATTACGATTGCCATCTTTTAGAACATCGTGCGAAAGGTTCCTACGACAATACCGTATGATCTGGCATCACAAAAAACATTACCTGGAGCCACTTGGCTCATTTCAAGCGCACACAGTCAAGTAATCCGCTTGCCACAGTCGCAATATGACTTGTTAGCGAAGCATCAAATACGTTCAGACCATAATTCTGTCATAACAATGAGCAAGATTTCACGAAGGATGTCTGTAATAATTACGATTTCTTTAGCACGACATTGGGCGCATGAAAGTAGAGTACAATATAATAGACTATATATATACGGTTAAATTGTAAATAAGGCTGCATTAGCTAATATTTGCCATTATATTTGTCGATTATATTCCTCTTGAAAAATATTAATGCAGAATTGTTCATTGAAACAGATTCGACATAAGCGTAGGCATTTATGCTTATTAATTATTAAAGATAAAGCTTAAAAAATGAATCAATAATATCGTGTAACGTGAATATGCTTTATTAGGGTAAAATTTAGGGCCCGATCGGTCACCGCCCATCAAAAATTGTTGGACTGAAGGGCGACGGTTGTTCACTTGCTTGGAAAGGCAGATTGAAAATAAGAAACAGTGACAACAGTCTACCTGAAGAGCGATCGCTGTGCAACGAAAATATATTGCGCAATATGCGCAAGTCAGCGAGTATTGGTCAGAAGTGCTAGAAGGCATTGGGAAGCCGTTATGGTTCGCCAGTGCAAGTCGCAGGCTTCTATGTAGTAGAGTTTATTGTCCGTGGCAAACGATGAATAGGAAAGTCAATCCAGAATACGTATTTGTTCGTGGGTCTATACGTTTAGCCCTGAACACGCCAAACGTTTCGCCTTACGAGATTTCTTTTGTACAGCTTCGAGGCAGAACCTAGGCGGTCCGCTGCTTGAAATTGATGTGATGCCGTTTGACTCGGGTACCAGTGGGCGAGAGTAGATTTTTTTGCGAATCTGCTTGGATATGGCTACTAAGAAGGCCACACTGCGTAACTTAAGGTCCTACCCAACATGTCGTGACGTGCGATAACGTCTGCTTAATGTACAGTTGAGCCTGTCCTTATGGATTGTTCGTTTCCGAGAATGCTGCAATCCCGTTAGTTTGGACATTTTGCTGGTATGAAGAGTTAGCGCCTACCGACTCGGTCGAAGTACGGTCCAGCTAAAATAACGAATTGTTCTAGATTAGGGAAGCCGTTGTAGATCCGATGTTTCAGACACATGACTTGATGCCGATACCTCCACCGCGGAACAAGACCGCATTTACAACCGCCTTAAACCACTGGTTGATGACGGGTCGTCGGCAATACTTTATTCTGAGCTAGAAATTGACAGGCTGAACCGAGCATCCGGTTCAGTAAATTAATAGCGTTTCAGGGATATTGCTGTTGGGTTTTGCAACAGTTGTACTGATGTTAGATATGGACAATGTATAGAAGAGGAAGTGGTTCGATGGTTACGACTTACGAAGGGTCACCGGAACTGAAGCTGGTAGAATTGGAGAAAAAGCTTTTCTTTATTTAAAAAAGAGAAGCTAACCGAAATTTGACGCGATTGGCTTTGTTCGACCGTGTGGTCGTCGACCTGCATCGGAAATTTTTGAACACAGCAAAGACCAGTTCAGCAATCGATATGCGTTGCAAAAGACACTCACATCGGTCTTTCACATCGTTCTGGGTAAAGGAGCCTGGCTTAATCGCATAGAGACAAGTTTTCTTGCGTTCACCCGAAGCAATTATCTACGGGCTCGATAATACATCACAATATATAGAAAACGATGATAATTCTGGTGATCAAAATGGTGAAGATGCTAATAATGATGTGGAATATATTGAGGGGAGCTGTGTAAAGAAATATGAATATGGATTAATAACCGATTGAGTGGCTGATTGAGTAAATAACTGAACCTTTGAGCAAACAGGAAGGTGTCCCCGTAATCGGGATACCTGAAGTGAGCTCTGATAAGAATACTAGACCCCTATATTCCATGTCCTCCCTTGTACGCACACCTATAGACCGCTTCATGGATAAACTAGATAGAGACAAAGCAACAAGAAAAAACATAACAAACACAACATGAATTCTACAGTAATTCATAAAAGTAACGGCATTATGATAAAACAAAACCGATTTGCCAGTGATGCTGCCGGGTGGCAACCGGAATCATCAATTCGCAATCCGATTAGTATTCCCGTTATTATACTTGTAATTCGGACGAGGAAGGAAAACAAAAAAAAAACAACAGTAAAAGTTGAAAGACGAAGCAACAACTAAAACAATAGCAACGGTGTTTTTATATGTAACCACTCGACAGGCCCGGACGCATTTGTGGACGTTAAGGAAACAGATATAACAAATCTTATTGCATAGATATATAAATAAATAGAAATATTAATACTATTCATGGGGAAAACATCCCATTCTCAAAGGGCACAGAGAATATTACAGACACAGGCATGTAGGCACAGGTCATGTAAAACGCAAAAATGTACGTGGGTTGTGGTGTTAGGTTAAACTAATCTTGTACATAAATCGAACCCACATGTTCCCACCTGGACGAACAATTGGTATTTAATGTATATATGGTGTACATACATAAGGACGAAAATTAGATTGTCAGGCCAGTAATTAATAAAGTGTCAAGGAGAGTGAGTGTCTATAGAAAATGATGTCATGGTTATTTCCAATTTTCTTGTGATCTTTATTGCTTTCATATATATTAAGAATAGATTGCTCAAACATAATGCATGATGAGCCTGCTGTTTTCTTTTGCATCTTGTAGTCGTCCGTTATCAACTTGCTTGTTGTCTCAATTTTGTTGATATAAAATAACATTCTGAATGTTAATTATTTATTAATTGCAACGTCATCTCACTAAATAGCAGATCACTTACGAATAAATTATTTTTTTTAATTAAAACTTAAATACGCATTGAGCAATCGATAGAGTGATTTTGCTGAGGAGTGTTGTGTATCTTATTTTGGCCGAAATTGGTTGTCATTGTTTTTTAACACTCACCTAAAAAACGTAAAACTCTGAAAACATCTAAGTTTAATGTTATACGTGGATTAAACCAAAATAGATTATGTGGGACATTTACAGCATAAACGCTGTTCTGGAAAAAAATAGGTTTATTCACACCCTTATGCCATTAGAGTAGATAGACTTTCACTTTTTCTAAAAAGTTAAAAAGCGAAGAAAACGCCCTTTCTATAAGAAAAAATATTAAACGCGAAAGAGCGGTTAAAAAGCATTCTCCTGGTTTGATTATTCGAACATATTATTAACACATTTGTTATTCGATGTTAAAATTATCGTTCATAAGAAGGCTCGAAATAAAAGTTCATACGATTTCATCCATGCTAGGCTATTGTGATCATGGCTAACCTAGTGGTGGCAGTGGTGATGTTTTCGCATTTTTTTTTTTACATTTTACGTATAACCATAGATATTACACAGCTGGCTCCCAGCACGAAGCGAACTATGTCTACGCCCAGATTCGAACCCAGATCACTTCACGTGTCCTTAAGTTTAGGCAGACGAACACCCTACTCACTGCGCTATCACAGGAAGATGCGATGGTACCTAGACAGGTATTACTGTAGAATAAGGTGGACTCGAACAGCGAGTAGATTTTTCGTGTAAGCTTATTTCAAGTTTATTCTATTAGATCTAAGTACATTTATTCACGTTACTAGGGGAAACACTTATATTTTAGAATAAAAGCCTTTATTTTTTAATACCTCACTGTCCAAAGTCAGCCTACTGTATAAAAAATCAAATTAATAGCGACCTTCGTCAGTAAACTTATGTATTCAGTGATTCAAAACTGTTGCGAAAGCAATACTGATATAAACAATTTCTCTGGCTCAGCCTATTACGTGTACATACTATATACATAATAGTACCTAGTATACGGTGACGTGGATAAGCGTACGGTACCGATATAGCAATATGCAAACAAAAAGAGGTAAAGCCTGAAAGTATTGGAACCGTATTACTAATTACGTAATACACGCTAGCATTTATGGTGTTACGTGAACATACTTTACGCATCTGGCAAAGGCCCAATCAGCTGATTACTGCGTTAGCGTACCGGTGAGTTTTTGCATTTGCGTTGCTTGTAAACAAATTGTTGACTCGCTATTTCGATATCTAACTCGCTCGTAATTATATTTGATGCTTTTTTTTTTCGTTATTGCCATTACGTGCGTTGGCGTTGCTACTAATACTGTCGTTGACATCCGAAGCGCTTTATCTGAAGCTACCATCGATGAATACTATCCAAGGTGGTCATTTGGTTACATCTGACGGCATCCAGTTGATTTTGTCCTGCGTTGTCCGCTGCAATTTACAACTTGCCTTACTCGCCATTCGTCATCGTTCGGTCGCCATCATTTACAACCACCACGGCGCTGAATCTTTAACTAAAAAGTCTTCAACGCCGGCCGCTATTTTATGATATTCCTAGGACAAGCATTTTTATTAGTGCAGTAACAACAATAAGTGCAGACACGGTTGCTACAACTAGTCCCATACCCGCGTTTGTTGCTAAAACAAATCACTCAATCATTACTGCACCACGGCAAAGGGCATCGTTAGCAACGCTCCTCTCGCCATGGATCCAGAGCACCGTTTCGTCGGAACATCATTAAAATGTATATATACATGCGTAGGTTACATAGTATTGATTCTAGAATAACTAAAATGGCTTAACCAACGGAAGGCGCATTAGAAGCCTCGCGATCCAGTCTTTATCCGACTGCCATTCTGGCTCCGTATTCCTACATCGCTTTAGCTACGGCGTAGTTTGTACCGTCCGGGCGGGTCTGGCTAACGTCTAGCCGCTTCAGCAGAACTGACTGAAAACCTAGCGTCATTGTCGGACTGCACGCCCTTTCCGCGTCGACGCGTAGGCCCATCAAGAAATTCTCCTGGTGTCCCTCGCAGCGGACTGGGTTGGTTGCTGCCACAGTGGTATTATTTTTCGCAAACGAGGCAACTACGGGATCTGCGCCAGTTATGGCCGACGTAAACGTGAAGATCTGTGAAAAGAGCAGCTTCGCCGTAGGTTATTTCTCCGTAATTCTCTAGTGTTGTTGTCGCTGGTGCTGTTTAGTTTTGCCTGTTGGTTCTGAATTGCCTCGTTCCTTGATTAGACCGCTTCTGCATCGATCGTGCTCGTTGGATCGTCCGTCCATTGGCTGACCTGCATTGCTATCGAAGCCGAAAGGTAGTAACGAATCACTACGATTAAGGAGCTATTGCTCACGCCGCTTTTGCCACGGCGACAGCCCCAGTGCTGCTAGTACTGATGCTGGTATTGAAACAGTGCCGCAATTTCGCTCCAGGAAACAGCGAGCTAGCTTTCTGTGTGTGCATGCGTATGCCTCAGTCCCGTTGATTCTATTATCTCGACATCCATTGCATACTGACACTATTCGCAACTATATGTGTGACGTGATGGCCATGGTTTATCCGTATTCCTAACGCTTAAAGAAAGGAACAACCCTGAAGACTTTTGCCGAAGAAGACGTGGCTATCGTTTACCGCCATTTGACAACTAAGAGAAGCAGCGGCAGCTACGGAATACACTGCGATTTGAGCAGGCGCTTAGTACGCCGAATATTGTGTTAACTTCTCGTCATCCACGCCGAAATATTCAAGCAAGGTAGGAGAGCTAGCTAGCCAATGAGTGGATTAACTGAAGCTTGTTTTCTATCGGGTAGCATTTGTTTGTAGTTTATGCGATGAACAGCTTGCGAGCGATAACGACAACAACACAATAGAGGCTAACAGTGAGCGGCTGGCAGGTCCAAGTTGTCTCTTTGTACGGGGACTACTGCCAGACGCTTGGTCCATAATTCAACTGATGTCCCCCTACAATGTTCTCGTTCATACGTGAATGCGTGAATGGAAACATGCTGCTTAGCAAGGCATTAAATAATAGCTAGATTGCACGTGAATCTGTTATAGTAGTCCGACAGTAACTGTCTAACATAGTAAAACCGGCTTGTTAGATGCTCGTTTTTCTCTGATTTGACAATACCGCTAAGAAGGTAGTGTGATTTACCGAGAACGTAAGGCTATTTCTAAGGAATGAGCAGGCCGTATGGTAAAACAACGGCCTTTTAGTGTCCAATGTGGCTCACAGAATTATTCATAGAATGCTTAACTAAAATGAGCAACTTACGAGACTCTCTATCGAGTTGATCAGATTAGCTTTTGTTGGAATATATTGTTATTAGAAGAAAACATATATTACGAACTTGTTCTTACGGCACTAAATCTTGGTGATCCATAGTGGAGCTTCACCGTTTTCCTAATCGACAGAGGCAAATTTTAGCGTTGATACGGTATAATGATTTTTGTCAACGTGAACCATGGTTCGTTAATAAAGTAACGGAAACGTGTCACAAATTGGAATACAATAGGGCTTCGTCATTGCCAATTGTCAATTTATTGTTTGTAAATGAAGTAAGAAATGAAGGGAAACAAGATTGCAGTTATTTTAATTAATTAATATCATTCACGCCACACAGTCCTAAATCATTAATACGCAGCTTTGAGCTTCAAAAAACAGATCGATATCTACGATTCATATTAATAATGTATTCTATATTTTGACCACGTCGAGCAAATTTGTTGTCTAGAGACTGAGTCTAGTTATCACGCGAAATTTTACCGATGTTCCCGGCATCTTGTTCATCGTAAAATATCTAATTCGAGGGGACGGCACGCTTTCTTGAAGCAGGTAGCACAGTCAAATCCAAACGCCTCGATTTAAGATCTGACTTTTAAGTCAAATTTACAAATTACATTTGCCTAAATCTTATTGATGATATAGGCAAAACGCATTAATTGTCGATCACCAGTCATTTCGATAGTTTACATCCAGAATTAGAATATATTATTACAGAAATATAGATAATATCACAAAGTTCTTACTGTTTTTTGTAAAGTAGCTTTTTGTTTACCTTTTATTCCATATTGTGATCGTTGTGTGAGCGAGTTCTTCGAATCATCTAGTTTCAAGAAGAGCATGACATACCGTTCCGGAGAACTTTGTGAAAATGTGTTGTTCTTGAAAAAAAAAATAACCTTCAAAGAAAGTTTCAGGAAAACTTTTTGGCTTATTTTTTCTCTGTCTAGCTCCAACGTACATTTAGACACAGAAAAGCAGAGGAAGAAAATTAAAATTGCCCATGACGTCACGCCAGTAACCAAAGCTAAATATCTTCAGGAATGTCTTTTTTTTTTCCTAGACTTCTTTCTTTCGGTTTGCCTTGACGAACATGTTCCTATGAACGTTTAAATCCTCACCGAAGTAGCTCTAAGACGGAACGTCATTTTAGGAAACGTTAAATTTTAGTTAGTTTAACATGGGATTACATTAACAATATCTGCAGTTTATATTTTTAAAACAAATAACGATCCACGATTGATCACACAGTATAAGAAATAGTACTCACGATACTGCTTAAGCGAAGAACAGTTGTTAAAGCTCATAGCGCGCAACTCATGCCATGGTAAGGTGAAAACAATAAATTTACTGAAACAGTTCTTCCAAGTTTAAATTTACAAGAAAAAGTGTAACGAAGTTATATACCTTAAATGTTTTGATATATTAATACTATATTACCCTCGCATCGGGCGTGCCTCGGTACCATCCCCCAGATGGCTGTGGAAAATCAAGTCAAGCTGTATGCGTCAATTTTTGGAGGCCTATGTGTGGCTGTCCTATTTTTGCCTTATGCATGGATTTCCGTACAGCTTGCTGGAGCTATATGTCTGCTTTCCATGGTCGCTCGCAGAATCACAACGGAATACAATCGTCAAACGGGGAAAACACCAGTTAGCTCCATCGATAAGGTAAACCTTTTAAAAAAACTAAGCAATCTTTAGGTATGTCTTCATTATAAAGCACCGCGCCTAGCCGTGTGAGCAGTGTAAGCTGGAAAAATATTTGCCGAGTTGTCAAGGTATCAGTGAGATTTAGGGTGGTCTACCCTGCCGTGCTTCCCTGCTATGTTACTACACAAAGTGAACAACACAACAGGGAAGATGGAAGTTCAGATGATGACCGGTGGTATCTTCCGAAGTTTTACGAAAACAGAATATTGTCTCCTAAATGTTTGTGCTTTTTGTCGTCTTGACTATTTTTCCGCGTATAGGACGTGTTTGAATATCTTTGCGTCTTTCGCGTTTGGATGTGTTTTTGTCATCACGTTTCAGGCGATCTTCATTACCGGATGCGATTCCGGATTTGGCTACGGTCTTGTGAAGCGTCTTGATAAACTTGGCTATCGCGTGAGTAAGAGGCATACCCCGTTTCCATTAGCAAGGGCATACTGTCAATTATAGAAGGTAGATTTTTTAAAATACCGTTGACTACTCCTTGTGTTTATTTTTTTATCTTTGTTAACTTTTGATGTTTGCCTTTTGTGCGCTCGGATAGTCTTGGGGTAGTGACGAATGTCTAAGAGCAGTAAATCATGCTATAATAGCCTTATTGGTGAGTGTTCAGAATTAGTGTGTTGAAATCATTAAAAGATAGTGTTTTAGTTTCGCCATCGGTGATTTTATTGCTTTCAACGGTTAATATTAATGATTTCACCGTCTTCCCGTTAATATTGACAGCGACGCTATTTGTACGAAGTATATAAACGAAGAGTACTATTTCATTATTATGTGAGGCATGCTACATCAATGCTACAATGTTTGTCATTTCCGCGCAGAAAGTTCCAAGGAAGTAGTGTCTATTAAAAAATGCTCAAATGTACACCATTGAACACCAGGCACTGACGTTTTATCATAAGAACCGGGGTGGAAATTATGTGTCTGCTTAAGAATGTTGATGTTTATTGGTCAACCATTGCATAATTTAAAGGAAACGTATTGTTATTGGAATTTCAGCGTCTTATTATTTTTATCCTTAATGGAATCTTTCAGGTGTTTGCCGGATGCCTATATCCAGATGGCGAGGGCGCCGCCAAGCTGAAGTCCGAGACGTCAAATGAGGTGAGATTTGCAAATACGTATCTTTTAACCTTCCTTCGTAGCGAAAGTGTGGCAGTTCACTTTCGTTGATGAAACAGAGTGGTTAAAATATTATGTTTCCATTAGATAATGAGTATTTCCATTTTAGTCACTAAATATGCCATTTTAAAATAGCTTGTTAATGCTCACACACTTGTTCCATACACTACCTTGTTCAGGTAACGATTCTTCCGTTAGATGTAACGAAAGACGAGTCTGTTGATGCCGCATTTGAGACGATTACGAAGTCATTGAAGAACAGAAGTAAGTACATGATTATCATTTTGATAAAAAGGAAATTTAAGTTGCTTAAAGCCGCATCTTGTATCCCCACCTAGAAGCAGGCCATGTTACTTATTTAATATTCGTATTATATAATGCCTAGTCTACTACGCAAGATGACACAAACGGAGTGCGTTATTATTAATAGTTCGAATAATCGACTGTTTTGCGTCAAACTGCTTATCCAAAATTCAGCCTCCCGCCAACTATGCGTTAGACTGCGTTCTAAAAAAAGATACATAATGAAGCTTAGCGATATATGGCCGTTCAAACAAGATAAATAAATGTTGTCTTACACTCTACGCTTTTCATCATTTACTTGTTATTGTTACACTCTACGTAAAGCTAATGCACGTACTTCTACAGAACTATGGGCGGTGGTTGGTAATGCAGGCGTGTGCTACGCGGGCGAACTAGAATGGGGAAATCTTGACTGGCTGACAAGAACTTTTGACATCAACGTTATTGGACTTGTCAGGTGCGTTCTATTGCAGCTATTTTCTAAACATTGCTTTAAATTTGAGTACGTGGTTGACAAACAAATATTCGATCAATATTCGCTCTAATATTAATCTCTATTGTAGTTTTTATTACACAAACTATCAGCATCTAGGCTTTTTCATAAAAACTAGTAATCCGAATGCCAAAATTTGCAGATTTTTTGCAAAAATTGGCGAAGCGATTAGCAAACGTTTCAGTTGGCGAAAGTCAATTATTTCTCAAGTGAGTAAAGTTCAAAGTTATTTTACTACGTTTTCGATCACCTCATTGATGAATGGCTTGCTTTCATGTTTCTACTTTGCAGGTCTATTCGCCCGTTTTTGCCTTTGTTACGACGCAGTAAGGGTCGAGTTATCTGCACGACTTCTCTGTGGGGTACAGTCCTGTTAATGGCTCAAATAATATATCGACGATTCTTTGAAACCAATGCTCACAAAGTAAAGAAACGTTTCTTGTATTGTCGAGTTCTGACTTTGAGGTTTTCCATGACCCGCTGTTCTGTACGATGTGAAAATAATTCATTATTGCCTCATGGGTTCCTTGTTGCAGAAGTGAGCATTTTCTCCTACAGCGAACAGCGTTACTTAAGCAATTTGCTGGATATAATATCGCATTGCAGGTCATTACGCTATTCCCCCTGCTGTGCCGTACTGCATGTCGAAAGCGGCAGCCCGCTACTTCGTCGATGGTCTCCGACGTGAGATGAAGAAGTTTGGGGTCAAGTGCATTTCTATGGAACCCAACGTCTACAAGTGAGTTCGCCTTATAAGAGAGGAAATTTCCTTGGAATTCCAACATCAGCATTATTTTTTTTGAAATTATTGTTTAGTTGTGCCTGACTTCTCTAAGCACTGAGTAAATCCTACTCTTAAACATCTGGAGTTTGGCGTCCAACGCTGATATTTCGCGCTGTCTTAGTTGGCTGTCGGGTGGCTCTTGGGGAAAATCCAGGTATGCCTGTCTGTGGCCGACTTCTAACTTAGACCATTTCAAGCGTTATCTTTTTGAGTAAGTAAAGATGTTGTCACTGCGAAGACATTATCTCCCGACTATGTATCCATTGCCAAACTGCGGGGATAACGAAAACTAGCAAAATGGTTTGGTCTTTGTTTTACCAAACTTCACAGAACGAATTTAACGGATCATACCCTTCTTATCGAGATGATGCGCAAAGCCTGGAACCAAACCCCCGAATCCATTAGGAAAGACTATGGAGAAACATATTTCAGGAAAGAGACCGAATACCTCAGTGCCCACCTTAACGAGGGACGAACTCAGGTAAGCAGGCACCACTTTATTCGATTGCTGCCAAAAGCGAAGCAGAGATCTGCTTGAATAGGTTTTTTTTTGTGTAAATAACAAACTGTTGAAGAACCGTAACAGAAGTTGTCTTTTATTTCAAATCTGTGTGCATTCTCTGTTAGGTGGACGAGGTTCTCGACGATTTTGTGGAAGCTGTAACTGCCCAACATCCGAAATACGCTTACCACCCCGACGGTTGGGTGCGGGGTCTTTTCTGGCGCCTAGCCCTGATTGCACCCCCGGCCCTGCAGGATGAAATAATCAATCACATTGCACAACCAAATGAATTCGTTGCTTTTCGTAGAAATTCTAAAAAGCAAGGTTAAGCGGCTTCAGAGGAGAGAGCCACTTTGTAGCTAACTAATATAGGGGGTGCCTTGCTGAGCAATGTACCTCATTCATTAATACTCTATCAGGCAAAACTCAGTTATTAAACGGGACCTTACCAACTCAAGAAGTTGAACAATTGAGCATATATTCATATGTTTGTAAACGTCTCAGGTATTTTCGTTGCCAAGCGCAGTGCAATCTCATTTATGCTAAGTATGTTGAGCGTACGAGGTACGAACTGGGTAGCTTTCTACTGTTGGAACTCAACCATGTGTGATACTTGGTCCCAAGAAACTGAATATTATTGAGTGTGATACAGATCTACTGAACAAAGTAATAGGGTAAAAGAACTCGTGTGGATGTTAGATATATTCATGGGTAGACCGTATTTCATATCAGTTTTATTCGGTGAAAGATGCTTTGCCTAAGCAAACGAATAATTGTACCGGGCGGTGAAGTTAGAGCTTCGACATACTATGTTGTGTCATACTTTATTTTAATAAATTACAGATTAAAACGTATTTGGGTCGATCATCGCTTCGCTTACATTTTCGGCTAAGAATAAGTCATTGTAAAACGCTGAAATTTCAGAAAAAAACGTGAGAAAAGTACATTGGGCAGACGCAATGCCGGTCGGTCACAACGCACGACTCAAATACGTTGACTGGTAACATTAAAAGAAAAACTAGCTTAAATGCTTTATTATTGTTAATTCATTTTCGATTGGTGGTAACAAAGTTCACTATATAGATTTTTACGTTATAAGGTAAATCACTATGGGCTCATTGTCAACTTAACTTGAATCAGATTTAGGTACATGTTTTTTTATCGGTGATTGCTTACAGCTTGTATTAAATTAAGAAAAAAATGCGATTTTTATTAGGTTGTAAGATAACCATGACCGTTACCTTTATTATTCAGCTCAATTTTAGTAGGATACATAGAAAACGCAAACCGTTATTTTCTCTATTAGCGTACATATTTACATGAAATAAACACACTTCCGGCGATAACCAGAGTTGTTCCGCATAATACTGCAACAATCTCCCAATTGTCCCAGGTCAAGTATTCGTTAACCGAATTCAAACAGCCTTGTCTGAAAGGATAAATAGTTCGTATCTAATTGGCATATTAGGATTAAAAAAATGCGACCTGCTTTTTTTGGGTTCTAATAACGCTAGGGCAAAAAACTATGACACCAAAAGGTACAGATAGTAAAAGCATAACTGCAACTTTTAGAACCATAACTTCGTGCTACCTAGCTGCTCAGTGTAAGGACAAGGCAAAAAACGTTAAAATGCGAGCGATTTAAACGTAAAAACTTCGTATAATGTCTAAGCAATAAAAATATAACGACTCATAGCCTGAATTCTGTAGAGCCATAATAACTTACAGTTTTAGCTGGTGCATGCACCAAATAGCTTGTATCCTCAATCTATAATGACGTTATTCTATCCGGGTACATCATAGGAATCAATCGTGGCTACTACGACTTTCGAAACGAAAGCCAAAATGGAGGTGCAAACTTGACAGGAAATACGTGCTTCCTATTTAATCCTGATACTGCAACATGATTTATAGCGTTAGTGGCAATAACCACTCCACCATGCGCAGTCTATCACTGGTCGATTAGTTGAATTTGTTGCCTCTAGCAAAACTTTCCCGATCTATAATGTTATACATATCTGATATTGTTGGGATTGGTATTTTTTGTAAGTGACTTTTCAAAACAGAGCAGGTAGCCGGCCGTTTTTTTGTATTGCCATGCGACTAGTTATCGTCTTCTAGTGAAATCATCATTTGGGCACTGGTATCGCATATACTAATGACCTTACCATTCTGACGAGGTCACCCCAAAGCTGCTGAGAATCATTACTGCCCAAGTACCGTTAAGCTTTTTACCGAAACCCGACAGGGGAGCGTTTGGAAGATGTAAGCAATATATTTTAGAGAAGTTCGCTGCGAAAGCTAAATATGATTGAACGAAGAGATCAGGGTGCACCTGACGGTGTGAAACGCGTTTTGGATGTTTTTGCGTCGACTTGACCGTTCTGCCACAATGTCACTGTGGTAGTTTGAGCCACCACCGAATGGCATAGCGACGGCAGAATGAATGTGAGGTGTGAGATGTTTACCTATGTATTGACGAGCTATTAGCAACGACCGGATTCAGGGCAGCGTCATCGATGTCCTGGAATACAGAAAAACGAAAGTGCGTCAACGTTTGCAAAGGAGCACTTACATAATGAACAGGAAAGGAAACATATTGAGGAAATACTCCTACTCTTCGACTATTTAAATTGTGAACATTGCAAGCTAACGCCAGTAGAGCTTTGTCTATAATAATAACGTAAGGAAGAGGCTACTGATGCGATGTACGTTTGCAGCTAACGAATTCTCTTTTAGGTCACAATTTTCGAGTCATCATGCCAAAGGAGGAACATATTATAAAGATGGCATTTTACTTTATTTTCGATTCGACTCAGTTGTTGCAAGGATCGCTTTTTACCGTTGGATATAAGCATTGAAGATGACCACTTGACCGAGTAGAAACCATTGGATTATTGTTACTTATATTCGTAATTCTTATTACATATCAGCCTTTCTCCTATATTATCTGAAATGTTATTTTTTAAGTCCGCTTATTTTATCGGTAGAACACTGAAAATTTCACTTATATTTTGCCTGCTAGAGATTGAATTCATATAAATCTACCCTTATGTAAAAAAAACAATTCGTCACTATTAGCTATGTACCTTCCAGTCAGTGTGAGCTTCCAATGTAAAGTAAGACGTATTCACATACGACGTGTTTCTTTCAAACGCTTATCAGTCAAAACCCTGGTCAGCTTTTTTGAAGCGCATGCGGGTCGTGCTATCTTCACGGACGTGTCGCATGCATCCTATATCGTATATGAGCTTAATAGGAAGTGCATCCACTATCTCCTTGTTGTAGCCTATCCGATGTATACAGGAAGGTCCGAAGTTATGGGTAGTCATGTGTGTATGACTCGGCCCGCCAATCTCTCGGCCGGTACAAACAAATTCAAATGGCTCTTTCCAGGACTTCGGATTATTAGGTCGCCGCCAGGCAGGTAGCGGTCATACAAGAATCATCGAAAGCCACCCATTTTGCTAAGGCAAGGTAAGGTCAGGGCTTTGATGGGTTGGGTCCACTCAGGTCGAGACGCGGAAATAACGTAACATTCATCTTAGAAAGTCAAAGCTACATAGAAACATTCCATGTTCAAATCTGAGAACGCTTTTGGCGGTGATTCGATTATATATTACGTCATTCGGTTCGCTGTATATGGTGCCAGATGCCGAGGCGATCCATCGTACGGACGTATAAGGTACGTGTGTCAATATACATGAATTGCTGTTACAGAATGTTTTTTGCGATTTTATATTTGTAGAGCAGTGATATCGATGTAAGCCATCTTCGTGCAAACTCTGATCTCGGCTTCAGCCAAGCTATGGAAGCCGAGGCTATTGGCGATGATGCCTGTGATAGCCGCTAAGATCACACGGCTGCTCCCAGGACGATAAAATGTTGCTTTCTTTGGTTCGAACGTAGACCGCTGCGTCACTTCCCACCACCTACGTCACTCATTTGATGAAGTTTGTACCGCCTGTACTGTTACCAACAAAAGTAATATAACAAATACCGACCGTTCGTTGATAGTTCGATCAGGACAGATTGAAGCCAATAGACGATCATTGTTGCGAGAAAGATCCACAGAGCCCTGCGATGATAGATTTCGTCTTGGTCTTATTTTGCCGATTAGGCGAACAGCAAAACCGTTGACCGAGTTTGCGGTCCAACGATGACAAAATGGATCGATATGATAGCACTATTGCTAAATTACATTATCAACTTTATTCCAACAAATGCGAGATACGGCGTGACTATGATATTTCAGTCATTATGACACTGGTTCACAGTATTGAATAGAAAAGGTAGACTGAACTTCAATAGCGTGTGCGGCCGTAGCTTTGCTGACCTTCACCGAACACCATCTACGGTGAATATTTAATAAGATATAATACGATAATAAGCCTCGTTTTCCCGAAACAAGGCATAATTTCTGTGACTCTGCATCTTGTACATTCGGTAGAACTACAATTTCATAAGGATACTCAGAAAATACAATTGAGATGCATCTCGTGTTATGTATAAGAGGCATCGCCATATATGAGAGCTTTGAGGGTACATTGCATTTATTTGGCTTGGGCCTATTATATCTTTTTAATGTTCGTGTGGCCCTTAATAGCTGAAATTATGAGCGAACACAGATCGCCGCAGACAAACATTTGTTGCTATACATTATTACAACACAATAAAACGTAAATCAGTAGTCTCGCTTGAGGGCAACTATAAAGTCAATTAAATATTCTAATAATATTAAATAAACTAAATAAATCTTAGTTTGAGCAATACATTTAAACAATTGAGGATAGCAGTTCTACGTTATTTTCACCACGGCAGAGTGGGCTAAACACGATAACTGACTGCAAACATGGGTTGGATGTTCGAGTCTCATTGATCCGAACCGACTCTAAGATACTGAACATAAAACTGATCAGGATTGTCGACCGGGACAAACGTTTTATCTGTATCGCACGAACAAGATATAGAAATAAATATATTGCTACTATTATACGCTCCATGCTTCTCAGTAGCAACCGACCTAATGTGATTGCCTATTTAGAACCCGAAGCTAACGTTCATCTACGATTGACGAAGTCCAGGTAGTAGCAAACGAGAAACGTTATTTGAATTTGTTTATTACTAAGAATAAACTTAATAGTAATGTTGGAAGATATCTATATGTTAAACCTACTCCTGTTGAACTTCTGTACAATATATGTTAGATGTACAAAATCCAGCCATTTGTCCCAACTGACGAGATCGGTAACCGATATAGCTCCAGGTTCGATCGTTAAGATCGATGCTCGCATCCATCTAAACTCATATTATATTTCTCCTCCAATCGGTACGGCTATTAGGGCTGCCATAAATATCTAGTATATAATAACACCTATATGTAAAGGTCAATAATCGTTATATCTAGCGATCGATATGTACAATTATCTTAAAGAAATAATCCAAAATGGTGCAGCGCTTTTATTGATTGTAAGCTCGCGGAAAGTTCCCGAGATAAAATATGAGTGATTGTGAATTTGTGCCAAACAAAAAAATTACATCAGTCCCCATTTGTAAATCTAACGCCCTGCTAGAATGACTAAATTATTAGCACCCAAACACACTTTCAGTTTGGTAACATAGGATGGATGAAGAAACTGTGCATGGCGGCCATCTTGATTGCCCATGATAATATATAGGATATCATCAACGATCAACCTTAGCTATGGCACTTGAGATAACAGCGCGACTTGCCCATTGAGACGACAGTGAGGCAGACTAACTGTCAATGCCACAAAACCAAACAGCCGGGATCAGCTAAAGGGTAATCTCATAGTTTGAGTAATTTAGATTTTAAACCGAAAAAAGGTAGAAAAAGCCCAACCTGATTGCGGAGTTCGTAGCAGGTTTTTGGCAGGTCGTTGCGTCCATTAAGGCCACGGCGCTTCCATTGTGAGCGGTCGAAGTCCTGTGGAGAATAAAAACCGCAGCAGCGAAATCGAACCTATCGCAAATTCAGAAAAGAAACAAGTGTAGGGTTGAAATATTGCGCGCTATCCAGCGAGTCGCAAGCTCTGCTTATCCGTCGTGTGAAACGAACGATCTAGGCGATGAACATGTAGAACTTTTTCCTTTCTACTAATTTTACAGGTACAGCCTTCTAACGCTTGTATAGATATACAGAACATATTGGCACAAAAACGGTTTTTTTTTTACATATACATTAATACCAAATCGGATCTTGACTAGGGCATTCATGTAAGGCAGACGTCGCAGTTTGTGTGAACTGAACAATAGATTCATACAACAATAACATACAATAATTCGTGAATGCTATAATTTTTTTGCCCCATCTAAAGAAATTGTTGAAAATGCTACGCTATTTTATTTTTGAGACTTCTAAATTAGTAAGCATAGGCAATCTTTATAAAGTCAGTATTTTCAGGACTTTGTTACAATGTTAGTAAATGGGTTATGTTACAAACAGACAAAAATGTTTTTATGGCAAATCACACGAGTCGCTTTATATTATACCTATAAAATACAGACTTCATATTTACTAATTTAGAGAAGTCTCAAAAATAAAATAGCGTAGCATTTTCAACAATTTCTTTAGATGGGGCAAAAAAATTATAGCATTCACGAGCCCTACGGCGCATTGCAAGCGTCTTATAGAACGTATTAATGAAAAGGTTAATTAAATATAAAATCATTTAAAAAACAGGGAGCTTTAAACTCTCTTCACCTCACCCTCATTCAACCTCTGTGTCTTCCGTCGGGCTTTTTTTCTTGTTTAGTCAAGCTACAAAAGTTACGGAAACAATGATAAACAACCCTGTGAACATCTTAGGAAGTCCATTGGCTTCGTCCCTTTGTTTGCTTCGTATTACAGTGTTACATGTGTAATTAGTCACTGCTTTCTTGTGCTATTTGCCCAACAGGTGTTTAATGTAAGTAATAATCTATAAGTTAGTGGTAGATCATTCTCGAAGGTGCCAGATTATGATGTCGCTTCGAAGATATCCAGTACCATAACGTTTTTACCTATGTAAATGTTTCGAGCCAGACATTGCTTCAGACAGCCGGCTTCTATCATAAGCGTATTGTATTTAGGCCCCGATTCGTGCCCAGACCATCAGATATCCCTAAGCCAAGTAGACAAACACGTCACCATCGTGCTATCACGAGAACGCAACGCCTATACCTAAGAACCTAAAATGTGCCAATTAGAAGTAGATCCATTCGTTCAACTATAATAGAAAGATCTGGGTAACTAGCTATAATAGTCAATGAAAAAAAAACATTTTCGCTCAACTTGGCCTTTCCCTCTCAAATATGTTTTTTCCTTTTTCTAGCTTGTTTTCGCTCGTATGTTTGTCTGTTAGCAAATATGGCTGAACGCGTTCAGGATGTCGACTGGGTAACGTTGGCCACCACCCAGCATATCTTCAGAAATTACAAGTAGATGTTCTAGTGAATGATATCAGCTAGCGCGCTCTACTCCAACATCGTGACTGACACATCTGTCATATTCACTCACAGGTATAACCAGAAAACTTGTCCATAAAACCATTGAAGGACGTCCAGAGAATCATGGGCGTATCAGAAAGCTAGTGTTTATAGAAAGGTCGGTATCCTTTTCATTGTCAGGTATACAGTGAGTAAGCAAAAAAAGTCTCGCCCCCAAAAGGCTAGACTACGCATAACTGAGAAGTATATTCATGCTAACGATGGTCTAATATGTTAGGGCATCGACAGTTCTGCTGGTACTTAACTGCCTTTCGATCTTATATTGTTGAAAAGCACCCTTATTTACATAAAGGAGACTGTTGGACAAATGGAGACAGCTAAAACAGTTTATGATGTAGTGATCAAGAAGCTGAGAATACTAACTTAAATTCACACTGCAAAACCACGTTTTGCGGGCCTTCCTCACGGAGGGGTCCAGTGAAGGAGCACAAATCTGTATTATACTAGAAGTTCGTTGATTCACAAACAAACCTTGTGCTGCTCGGCCATTCCAGTATGTGTGTTTTCATTTCGTCCACTACTCTTTTCAAGGATCATCAGTTGAGGGTACAATGACTGACAGTGGAAATTCGCGGGTTACGTGGTCCTCGTTCGTGCTTCTCAGGAATAGTCTAATAAACAGCTTCTGACATAGATTCAAGTCGTCAACGTCTTCTTCATTACAAAACAAATGAGCATAGATGATATTTTGCCTGCCATTAAATAACACCATCTATATATGTGCATTAGATTCTTCCGGGATAGAAGTCAAACAAGAACACACTCCAATTCAATAGCTCACTTTCGTCAATGAAATTTCACAGCTATAACATGAAGAGAATGAGACAACGTCCGGTACACGATGCCCATTGTGCCTGCACATAGTTCCGCTTGGGTGCGATAGGGTTTTTCTTTTCGATGGCCAGTCACGTTAAATGGTCCCGAAATGGCAGGTTTTGTTTTGTGGATACTTTGTTCAAAGAATATTTTTTTTCATTTTCAAATAAACGAGGTAAGAAAATTCCACTACACTTTTACTGAACTTTCTAAAACGTTCTAACGTAATGATTATTCGCAATGAAAGTTTATAATTGAATAATAGCATATTTAATGTACATGGCCGGCTACATACATCGTGCATAGGCTTCCGGCTCTTAATGTATTTGGCCCTTATCGAAAAGCCTAAACGTTATCTATCAGGCCTAAATCGATCTCGCAGCGTTGTCGCAATTAGGCTGATCTTCTGCGAGATAACCTGCGAGTGAGATCGAACTAATTAAAATGGAGATTTTCTTCAGAACAGAACCTTTTTCTCCCATACTGATTGGTAATTTAATCTAAAGATTTGCATTGAAAATATGGTTATTGGAAATTGATTTTATAGAAAATGTTTGTAATTTTGCAATATATAGATGATATAAAAAGAAACGATAAAAATAAATGATGATAAGTTTTGCAAAAATAATTTATAAAATATGGTTAGTTATTATTAATTGTAATACTAGATTAGATAAGTGCGTTTCTGCAGGTAGTTTCTTTCTCTCATCAATCGAATCGGTTGATTATCGGAAATGCTTCATCGTTAATGAAGTACAAACCATCTTGGCACACAACTCACGTTTTTTGATTGGATCAATGCTTTCTTCCTGGGAAGTTTCTTTGTACCATAAAACGTAAACTAATTAGGAGAGGACCAAATCGATAGCTCTTTGAAATGTTGGAGAAATCTTTTGGCAAAATATAAATCTATTTTTCATATATTGAAGATTTAGCGGTATATTAGTAATGTATGCCTAAATATTCTCATAACTGATAAAGTATACCGGAATCGTTATTACTAACGAGCTTCAATGAGAGAATAGGGTTACAGTGTCGAAGATGTATCGAAAAATTGCTTTTTTATCGGCCGCAAATGTCTCAATCGTTTAAATCTCAACGCAATCCTAACAAGCTTCTGCCCGTATTCGAAACAATCCTAAAGCATAAAATGGAACCATAACGCGAAGCGCGGCAAAATTAGAACGGCTTTCCAATGAGAGAGCAACAATAGCTAGAATTGGCAAAATGTTCGGGGTTAAATAAAGTTTCATGGTGTTCTTGTGTGTGTGCGGCTCGCAGGTACAATTGGAGTAACCATTGTTCAATATCATATACGTAATATAGGTACGCTAGCGGATCTGCGGTAATGAAACGAGATTATCAATCATCGTATGGAGATACCTGCAACGAGACAACAGAATCTGCGGCGTAATATTTATTATCACTAAATAACTGCAAAGACTATCGTTATGCCAGGTGTAGCGTTAACCGATCGATGAGGTAACCGTAAACGTATATCGGGTTAGGCGGGACTGGCAAACTGTAAAGCGGTAACTGTTGGCACATTTATTTAAGCTACAATGGTTCCTTTTAAACTGGGTCTAAAATCATCAACAAATCTGACTAGTTATATCGATTAGAGGAAAAACGGGCGAAGCCATCGGGTATTATGTGCTATGAATATTGAGTTTCGGCATACCAATGTGGGTGAGGCATCAGACTCGCAAGTAGAGCTTCCGCATTTATCTTCTCGCGAGAGCTCAGTGCTTATTCTACAAATAGTCAAAATTTTAGTCATAAGTTTACCGCGCAGCTTCTTTTAACCATTGTAAACATAATTTACAGTATGGATAAGATAGGTAATTCGAGAGAGGGCCAAGTTGGTGCTTCTTGACACTGTACAAAAAACATGAGACAAAGACAGCAAATTCACCCAATCCAGACCTAATGTATAAGTGACCATATATATCAAAACCGATGACGAATTTTGTACACACCTGTATGTAGTCAAGACTATGCGTTACTTCAGGGACGATCCCGTAGTCATCGTGAAGCTGTCGCATGGCGTTGCTCCGATAGAACTCCCCAACCTGTGGTTCAGCCCTCTTTGCAGCGATTGCAATAAATACCAGCGCACCGATTAATCCGAGTGAAAGCACAAAATGCACAAAGCGAACCAATAGTTTTCGGGAGAACGCCAAACACCCGTTCACGATGGTCAGTAATGACAGGAACAGAATACAGGCGGGCATCACACGGAAGTTTCGATTGGTATTGGCGATGAGATATAGCTGTGACACAAGCGTGTGCGTACTCTCCACGACGAAGTGATGAAGCGCCCACGATGCGAGCGCCACACCGACGAAAACACAGACGCCACCTAGGGCCACCCCGAGCCGACGGTGTCGCCTGTCATCATGGAGTTTACTTGAGAAAACCGGGGTTGGTGGAGCTAGGCCTTGGATGCCAACCATCGTCGAATGTCCGAGATGGCTTATATGATGTTGATGTAGCCCATGATGCATATCGTGAATATCTAGTGAACTCTGCGAGATGTCCAGCGGTGTGGTGACAGCATCGTAGAACTTGCGGGAAGTTCTAGGTGTGGCCACCGTATGTCTCGAAGGACCCGCCGAGCACCGCGGTATTTCAAATGAGCGATTCGAGTACATTTACCCGGTGCTTTGTTACGTGTCCCTATCGTATAAGCGACTTAGTAGGTTTGTCCTATTGGTTTTGCTGTTTACACGTGTATTCAAGCACGCGTCAAACATCTACAGCAAGTTCTTAGTACTGCAAAGTATGAAACGACATTTGGGCGTGGCAAGAACAGCTACAGTTCACATTTATTATTACCCCATGTTATTTAATAGGCGTCACAACCGACTTCAGACGTCCACTTGTAAAATTACTCCTTTATCAATGTTTCGTACGTAGGCTGTTTCTTCATATAGCCGTAATCAAATAATCCGATTTGGGTGGCAATCGAATGTAGTTACTTTCTGTACAGTTATTCGTCGGCTGCGTCTTCGCAATCGTCTTTACTACCATCACCATTGAAATCTTCTTTGCCTACAGAAAATCATATTTCCTAGTCAATCACAACCAACACCATCATCATCCACAAAACCAAAGGCACTAAGCGCACGCCGTGTGTCAATGCTGAAATCAGCAAACGTACTATTGTTTTGTACCTCTCTAATATCAAATCGTACTATCTCATACTTACACTATCGAGGTCATCGTACAATACAAAACATCCTTATGGAGTTCTCGATAGCTGCTGCTGCTGCTGCTGCGCCTGTGATAAACAGAAGAACTTGTAGCTACAAGACTACCAGCATCCCAACGCATTGAGCGACGGATTCCACCTGCACCAGTAACGGCTATAGCAATAGCCGTAGCAGTACACTTTAGAAAATTTTGTGCTGAACTACACGAAATTTACGCTCCTTCTGAGCGACCATCGCACGCTGACGCGGAACCACTCACCAACGCTGTACTGAAGCACCTCCGTCGCGCTAACGTCAACCCGTGTCGAAACTCGCGTCATTTTGGATGTTACTTCTAGCCTCCGGCAGGAGAGGCGGCTATAGTGACCGGAGAGAGTGCTGCTCCTCCAATGCGACTCGTTCACCTCCTAGCGCAGAGTAGTCGCAGCTGTTTGTGATCCTTACAGTAGTTTCAGCTGTACGGGCTGCTACAGACGTAAATCGCCACTTCAATCCCAAGTGAAGTTGCAGCGATGCCTGCTATGATGAGTATGATGACTATTCACTATAGGCAGAGTCTCCGCCAACAGCATGCGCAGCTGCGGCAACAGGAGGCCCTCGTAGTTTGTCTGTTACGGTGACTCCCGTTCTACAACGTCCAGGGCCCAGTCACACTTCTGAAGCAGCAGTGTGTCACACGTTTTGTTGTTATTGTTGTCGTTGTCGTCGGGGCTGCTGTCATGGTTCGTCTATAACAGTGTGAGCACGGCCATATCAAAGGGCATCCGGCCTTTTGTCCTGGCGAAATAGGCTGGAGTCAACACATAGTTAGTGTCGTGCTGCCACCGCCAATACGAGCCGTTAGCACAGCGGCCGACGGACATCGTTCACAACGAAAACGATTCAACGAAGCTGAATCTGTGGTTGGTCGAGCCAAACGGCCACAACTGGGCTTGTGAATGGGAGAAGATCGCACAATCAAGTCTATGCATTTCTATGGACTAAAGTGGAAAAGAGAGATAGAGACGAGCAGACGACAACGTGTATCACTAACTTCAAACAAAAGCAGATCAGGCTGGAGTAAAGGCGAAAAGCCACTTGGTCAATGGTAGGCTGTTCCCGTAGCGATCTTGGGCTTGGGCTGTTCCGAACTATCGCTACTGGTTGTTTATTGAAGCTGCACTGGACGTCTTTGGTCAAACTGGAATTATTTCCGTTTTGTCAATGTCACCACTACAAGCATCCATAGTAGGGCAACTGTTAAATATATCGATACAATATAACCATTATGGCACTCCTCCGAAATGGCTGCCTGATTAGGGATGCCATTTTTGTAGAATACGTGTGATTCTACGGTATCGTTTCATTCGCTGCGACTCTCAGACCACAGATTGCCGTCAATAGCTAACGAGTCTATCTGGAGTGTATTCGCCGTTTCAGTTAAAGTTCATAGACCAATGGTACAAGGTATCATATCAGATCAAATTCCGCGATAATACAGCTGGTTACTGCAAGCGTAACGGCAAGTCTACTTGTGAGTCATTTTATGTATTATTTATTTCTTAACGTATGGTACAAGTCATCGTACGTGGTCGTACTTGGAACGGTTATTTGAGGCTGGTCTTACTATAGTTGCTGCAATTGTTTCAGCAGGGGCGGCGGCGGCGGCAGCAGCAGCCTGATAGATGTGCTCGCTTGCTCCACAGAGAAAATCGCCTTGGTACGAACATGTCAACAAGGTCAAGATGGTGACATACACAATCATCGCGTACTGCGATCGTAGTTCAGATAATCACGCAGACGAAATAGCCTAGCACTATTTTTTTCTACCACGACCCTGGACGATCGGGTCGCGACTGGCACAAACGCTCCTGGACAACTTTCATCATCGTGTGTTTTAATATTGTTATGCAGACGATATGGGCGGTCGGCACTGTCCCGAAGTGTGTTGAGCTTTGAAGTTGTCATGCCTGTAGTGACGAGATGTTGATGCTCCTGCCGTTTATCGTTATTGTATTAGTTAGCAGTAGAGAAATGTCAAGGATTTTTTGCTAGCCAACAGCCCACACTTGACAACAACCCTTAGGGACGTAGTCGTTGTTGTTATTGTTAAGTGATACAACCAGCTAGCCATCTGCATCGCCAACAACGGCTGCAACCGGGATCAGATCACGGAATAACGGCCAACCGTCTTTTAGGTGAGGTTAAAACGAAATGGCGAAGATGATCTGCGTCCTTCAGGCTAATGTAGCCGCTGTTGTTGGGTGTTTGTAAAATTTACTTTTTAAGATCGTAGTTCCGGATATTATACGTTAAATACAAACGAAATGAACTTCAGTATAGATCAACGATACGATGCGTATGTTTACTAATGCGCAATAACAGGAATTCTGTTTCGCCATTTTAATCCTACGATACCACTAGCTTCATTTGATTACTGAGGATGAACGTTAATCGCGAAGAACTCTGCGGAACTGATGGATAAGTCAGGAAGGGTGAGGTATTCATGTTTGGTTAAGTACCACACGTTAAAAGTAATCAATTATCAAATTTGACGTGTACCGGCGGATGGAGAATACAAAAGGCAGGTTTTCTGGCAGGCGGACGTGATAAAAGGAAAATAGGTAGAGGCTGCGTCGAAGATGCTATTATTACAGTGGGTGGCTGGCGAAGACTCGAATGCGAAATCTAGCCGAGTCCGTGTTTCACGGTGCATTTAAGGCAGTAATCTTTATGTGTCCTTATTATAAATAAATGAGATTCGAATAATCGGATGAAAAACCCAGTAATTGAGACGTTATCCATAGCTTGAAGCTACTTTCAGAGTTAGGCCACACTGTTCTAGCAGCCTGTGTACGGAACGGGTGAAGACGCTGAGATACTGGCTGAAGTGATACATAAAAAATGCAATCAAAGCTTACCGCGGACATATTTATTTTTCAAGCTGTGAATAATCCAAGAAAGAGACTTATTTCACTACTACATAACCAATGCTAGCTTACTGCTTTAACAATCGCCTAATTATTTATCATAACCTTCGAATACATGTTAGTCTTCAGGATTGTATTCGACTGAGAGTCAGCTCGATTTTAAAGGTTTATAGCCGTTATCTGTAAAAAGAATCTCTTCGACGTTGCTCCTAATAAAGGGATATGTACAGTGTTGGAGTCTTCGGTGTGCCTGCCTCTCTGAGGTTCAATGAATAATAGGAGGCAAAACATTCAACCACGGCTAGTTACAGGTCCCAATTTTTCTGAGGCATCATGGTGTTCCATGAACAGTTCTTCTGCCACCACTGCTAGTTACGATCAATTTACTTTAAGTATTACAGCTGTGATAAACGAGCATTGAAGAACTGAATCCTCACACCGTACTTCACGCAACTGGTCTACGTGAACGTCCATTCGACGCGTAAGTGTTAATAAAGTTCGTTCACTAAAGCATTATTCTACAACATTTAGAAGCTACGAAAATGTCCGGCATGATTTAATAGAAGGGGCCAAGGTTCGAGGTCTGGTAAACAGATGAAGATTAGCTAGAGATAGATGCTAAGCGGTGCTGCAGTACATCTAATGCATAATACAAGTTTATTAAACAAAGACGTCGCCATTATTTATTCGAAGATTGCAGATACCAACACGAAGTCGATAATAAGCATTGTGCTTGTTGGCAGACCTCCAATGGGCACGGAAGTTCTTTTAATTTCCCCAATCGAATTGCTAGTGCTTAACATCCAGAGTTTGTTAGGGGTAACAACATTGTTTGTTACGAAATATATAATAGTGCCGCACTATAGAAATAATATTACAAAATATTCAGCTGGCATTCGACCTGTCGAAGGCCACCTACGAACGGTACGTTGCAATCTTCGTCATTTCATTTAAGTGCTTCGTTTGATGATTACCGAATTTCGCGCAGAACGACAGCAATTGGACTTTTTTTTTACAATCTGCAAAATTAATTTACGGGATCAGAAGGGATTCTCGAAAACTCTCGTTGACCCGACAGAACACCAATAGCACTAATCGTTATAGCTTCTTTCTAGACGAAATACGCCTGCTTCCTGCCGTAATTAGCATCCTATGATGTGCCTAGGTACACAAGCCGCCCTGTATTCTCGCTTATGATGATAAATGTAAACTATGATAAAAACAGGCTATGCACTTTATATATATAACGTACCTTATATATATATATATATATATATATATATATAGCAAAACAGAAATGGTAACTTGTATTCCCAAGTGAACCTTAAAGTTGCCTATCTCCTTAAGGGCAGCGATGCTAATCGGCTTAATTTAATTCAAGAGCGGCTCGGGCATCCCGTTGAAGGCAATGCGGACAGCGTTGTTAGCTACTGTCTATTGATTCTTCCGTTTGGCATGACCATCGTCACACGCTCCAGGGCTGATGCCAAATATCGCTAAACTGAGATTACATCAAATCTAAATAGGTGCGTTTATGTTATTATCTATTATTTAGTTCTATTTTAAGCTGTCTGCAAAGAATTTTCTCGATGTCTGCCTTATGCTCTCAATGGGGAAACTATCCGATACTAACCGTTCTGGTTAAAATTTAATTTAGGATTCAAAACTTCAGAAAAAGCTTTAACAGATCCTTGTTCTTGTCCCTAATGCTAAAGGCCAACTTGAGACACGCCGCATCGATTTTTGAGTGGGGAAAAAAAAACAAAAAAGCGCACGGACAACAGATACGGAACAATCAAATGACGCTATTGGCCTCTGTTATAGTGTCACAAGCATCATAAAGTGAAACGCATCGTACAGACAGGCTAAATATAGGCTGTTGCGGCAGTAGATCCTCTGTCGCAGGACGCTTAACAAGTGGCTGAATGAATCCACCTTCTGTTAGCTGAGTAACTAGGAGGGCACTCCTCTATGTCGAGATCAGCGCTTTCCGACGCGTGACCACTGCGTAAAACGATAGCTAGCTATATGGACAACGCTGCCACGTAGATAGTAGGCACCCATCACGAGGTAAGATTACACAATGAGTGTCACAGTGAGCCAATGCAACCGTTGGCTGTTTTGTCGCCTGCCTACCCTACCCTACCCTACCCCCTAGATTTTAATCATTTACGTGGGCGGATTAAGTCACATAAACTAAACGAAGCTAAATCAGGCCAGCAAAGGGGCTAGTAGGCAGACTACAATGCTTTGAACGTCTGTGGACCCTCGGGGATTACATACAAAAAGATCCACTGCGCTGCCTCGGTGGTGACGAAAAAAGCTTACGAGAGCCATTCATTGCAGATTGGGTCGTGGATCCAAGCAAAACAGAATTTAACTTTAGTTGTGCCACCGCTACATTTAAACTGAGAGAGAGCAAAAAAGAAAGACAAATAGCTACTTTAGCAAAAATGTCGTTGTGTTCTGATGAATCAGAATACGACGTTCTGGTTACGACCATTACATTTCGAGCGCCCCATTACTGAATAGTGCCTTTGTGTTAAAAGGGGAGTAGCCAACAATAGGACAAAAGGGAGGCCACCGTCGCAACTAATCTTCGGGGAAATTAGCTGCTCGGAAGTTTTTCTTTGACGCACAACCATACTCGTGGACGATGGTAATACCTTATGCAACACAAACTATAAATATAAGACTACTTGGGTATGTACGATTTTTGTCGATAGCTGAAACCAAGCAGGAATGGAGCGTATTGATTGACTCTTTCTGTTTACTAAGATACAAGTGGATCTTGTACGTATTTTATACCGTCTTTGACTTTAGTTTGATTCCTCTTTTCGTATAACTAATGCCAATGCTAGTGCCTCATAATACGTAACTAAGGTCCAATTTAAGCTAAAAGACAATCTAACAAGGTGCCTTAGACGCAGATCGATGGCCTGTTTGAACAAGCAAATTTTACTGACACGTCGTCCGAAAGCCGATTCGAACGTAGAGGCAGAAATCACCAATCTGGTGCTTGCTATTGTCCAGGAATCAACTTGGCTGCACTCTTATATTTCCTTAATAATTTGAGATTGTGGTAGTCAGTGAGGGTTCTTCTCCGTTATCCCTAAGAGAGTATACAGGCGTTTCAGCAAGTCACTAATCGCATAGCGAACGAGTACTACATGGCTTATGCAAGCATAGTAATAGAAAACATTGGGCAGCAATGAAGTCCTCCCTTTCGATTGACCCTTGCTGCACCATTTGCTGCACACAGGCGTTGCTCAGTAGTTCCGAAGCAGTCTCTAGGTAATTGGATAGCAACTCTCATGCACAGTTACGCCGCGTGAGTTCCGACGTGAGCTGCGGAGTTAAATGAGCGCGGCATGTGGGTCCAGGCAAGATTTCTCTGTGTTCCCCTTTGATTTGAGCGTGAAAATCAGCTTGCTTTCAATTCGTATCACGTGTATTCAACATGATTTAAAGAGGATGTTAAAACAAGCATCGAACTTCTTCGAATGTTCTACTGGTCTTAGAGTACCATTCATTGAATGCGCATTACGGAATTTGACAAGATAGGATCAAATAAAGTATATCCACGTGACCGAATCCAAGAAAAGCTGAAAATTACTTAGAATCGTATTGATATTACGTTCTGATCGGGATTGTACTAATATACAAACATAACTGTAACACTTATTTGTGAGGTTCACTTTATTATTTATTCGCTTAATATATATAATATAATTATAAGGTTATTTGCTTTTTATATAAGCATCCCAATTCGCTTTTGTCTGAAAGCAGGATCGTTTAAGGATGCTCCAATACGGAATAGTTAGTTGAACAAGTTTACATTTTTATTACAAAATGGAAGGTGTTGCAAACGTCGCCTCGCGTCATGTTTTAAGCGTGCTCGCTAGCGATAATCGGTTTGATCATTTACTTTATCTTGAATGTATTCTTTCGGGGATGGAAACGATTTTCTTTTAATTTTTTGTTAATTAGACTGTTTGTGGCATAGTCGAGCAGTTTCTTTAGCTAAATACAGCGTCTTTCGACGTACACCGTTGTCTCTAGACAGAACTGCTACTTACGTAAAGGAATAAAAACCTCGATGGATGATTCTCGATAAGAAGATCAAGGCCGGCAACAAGCTCAAAATCGGATGTAATATTTTAGATTCTTACCCGGACCTGTACCGCCGCTTTATTTTAACATGCGTTTTTTTCAATGAATAAATTAATGGGTCCTCCTAGTTACTCCGGAATGTAATGATTGCCATAGGCAAGGAAGGAGGATAGGTCCCTATGGGATTAACTGTATCATGGAAAACAATTGGTATTTCACAAAAAAAAGATATTTCACAAGTATAGTTTATTAAAGCACAATTTACTCGTTTTCGAAAAAAACAAATTGATAGCATCTTATCGTGGGTTTGGTCTGTGAAATCAAATGGCCCGCTGATGATTAAAACTATGAGGTATACATGTTGACACCCTTGTTGAATCCAAGTATGGGTCATGCCAAGGAAATCGTCAACCTTTGCCCTAAAACCGAGCTCATGTGACATGTTGGTATATAACGTAGTGAACCCCAGGATGCTTATCTAATATAGTTCATAGGAAAAAGTTATTGTATCCTTCAGAAAGTCTTCAGCTCAAATCAACGTTCTCTCACGCGAGAAGGGCCGAATCCTACTAAAATATTTTGCCTAATATTAAATCTCAATTGTTAGTTTTAAATGAAGAGTATAGATAAAAATCTTTAAGAACTTTAAACTTAAAAAACCTGTTATTGTATGTGACTTAAGTCC